CAGACTCTTGAGATGGGAAGAAGTTCTGGAACTAACGCTATCGACAGTAGATTCTCTTTATCATTCGCGGCAAATCCAGCTGCCCTCGCCAAAAAAACATAGGAATTAATCAAGTAAGTAAAGAAATTTCAATTACTTATGAGTGAGACGGAGCTCTAGGAATGCTTGAAAAAGTTTTAACCAATTCCTTGCGGCAACCTACACCTTTGGCTGTTTTAAAGGGAGGAAATCACCCCCTTAGTGGAGCAGGGACCTTAAAATCCTAAAGAAAGTCTTCAATGAAAGCTCTAGTCCCAAAATCTGGCAACGTTATAAAGGTATGCTGAGAAGGTATATATAAAAAGGCAGGAAGAAAAGCGAAGAAACATGGCAATCCTACTGCTCAACGATACAATACTACAAGGGGTCTGGAAGGAACATACACTATCCTTCATTACGAAAAAGGATAGTGTATGGAGAAGTATTGCTTGCAAAACAGGAAAATAGATTCTAACACCACTGCAGAGTGCAAAATACCAGTTTGGTCTTACCGTGTGCAGGAGCAAAATCATCTGTGCTACTAACAGTTACTCGGCACTTAAAACGGCGGGTCCTGATGGACTTCGCCCCAAAAATGCTACAGAAGCTAAAGCAAGCAATGGTACAACGAAAAAAAGTGGCCTTCCTACCAAAAAACGGGAAGAAAAGTACACGACAATGTCGAAGACTTCCAACCTATAAGCCTCACCGCTTTCCTGAGAGGTTTATGGATATTCATACACGTATAAGATCGCTGCTTATGAGTAAAATTTTGTCAATGGCCCAACATGCTTAAACTAACAGAAACTGCCCTGCACGAAGTGAGATATGATTACATCTCAGACAGTCCTAGATATAGAGAAAGCCTTCAATGACATAGTTGTAAGCACTTTCATCGATTCTCCGTCATATGTCGGCATAAAAAACATGATGAAGGTGAAGTGAATGTAGTAGCTCACGTAGACGACATCGTATTGATGGTATTAGGGCTGATTCCCCCCCCCCCCCGCCCCCTCTCCCAACAATTTTTGAGACTGTGCAGACGTTCTTAAGAAGATTACAGTCATTAGCCGCTAATAACGGTATGGGTGCACAGAGGTTATGCTATTCACAAGTAAGAATAAAATACCACATTTTCAGCTTCCTTCACTCAATAGCAAACTATCGACAAAGAAGGCATATATATGGCCTATCAGGAACTGGGACCTCAAACTAAATGTAGTCATGTAGATATAAAGCCAATCCTAGCATTTGGAGCGTGGGTCTGGTGGCCAGCTCTAAGAAACAGTACAGTATCAGGAAACTTAATGAAATACCAAGAGCAACCTTCGCAGGGTTTGTAGGAGCTATTAAGTCATGGCCGACGCATGAACGTACCAAACACACACACAAACAGTTGACTTAGTTTTATCAAAGAGTAAAAATGCCTTGAGAAGGCGAAAAATCAAAAAAAATCCATGGTGTGCCTTAGATACTAGTAGACGTGGGTTCTTTTATTTTCGATCTAAAGTAGTTCAAGAGAACTATAATTTCCAATTTTGAAGCTTCCTTTAGTCCTATGTGCTGCGCAGCTCCGGGATAACTATGACGAATTATGGCTAAGGCCGGTAAAACACTAAAATGTTCCAAAGTCTCATTCATGCCTTTCTCCTGCATTTAATACATGGGCCTTTGCTTTTAATACCCATACTGTGTCTCATCATGAGGCCAAGTGTATCTGCATTCCCTTACCGGTCTACCGCTTTTCCGATTCTAAGTACATTTTTCGGCGCAATATATATTTATATGTCCTTCTCCAATTTTTGGTATGTGTCTTAATGTTTTTCAATACCTACACTTTATTCTGATAGGCCTCAGAATGGCTGGTTGGATGGGTTTTCATGAGAAGCTTTTATTTCAGCAGCTTTCCCTACAGTAGAGACCTTTGCCTGGAAAAAACTGCACCACTCTTGAAGCTTTAAGAATTGGCCGAGGTCTAAATCGGCGCCCACACCATCAGACATCTTTCATTCAACGGTGTGGATGTTGTAAGCACCGAAGGCGGCTCGCTTGTTTCCGCGCCAACCCACTTCCTTCAGAGTAGCTTGAAACCGTCTATCAAGCTAATCAAATATAGTGGGAGTATGCGGTCTATTTTATCCTCCATCCCCCTGCATATAGAGCTGTGCCTTAAGATTCTAGTAGAGGCTTCACCTTGGGCTGTCAATATTACTGCGATTTCAAGTGGTGGCTAGTCAAGTAATTCTTCTAGTGACATCGTTGGAGTGCAATGCACAGTGCAGCGAACCGAGATTGTATTAGCAGCGGTCCGCTGCTCTAGATCGCCGTAAAGTAAGATTGGCTTAAAAATGCCAGAAGATGGTCACCATGTAGTGGTCAGCAACATTTTACATGCCTTACAAAAACCCCCACTCCGCCTACGCGCCTACTATACAAAACAGCGAGGAGAAGCCCGTCCGAAATCTACAAAACAGTTATAATTTTCCTGTTAAAATACCTTAAGTTTTGCTTAAAAGAAGATACATACATACATACACCCCGATGTATCTGTTGAAAATTCGCAAAGTAAACAAAAGCTTGATGAGAAGGTAATGCGGAACCACCCCCCAGATAAATATTGTGTGTTTAGAAATACGAATTGAAAAGGTGAATAAACATAAAAACGCTCCATTATGCCACTTACATAGGCGCGTAGAATGTGAAAGTAGAGATGCACGGAGCCACATACATACATATATCACAAAATGAGAGTGAAAGTAAATGAATTACAGTGATCGCTAAAATTGATGACAATTTGTTATTTTTTTTTAAGATTTAAGTGCGTTTTGAGGTTTTGTCTTTAGAAAATTAAGATTTGGCCGCTGCTACGTTTCAGATGGGTCCAATTTTCTATGACTCGTTCGAGCATTTCGGCTGGTAACTGGTGAATGACACGTGTCATGTATTGCTCCAAGGCGTGAATCGAAGCGAGATTGTCCGCTGAGACTTTAAACTTTACATATCCCCACAGGCAAAAGTTTAACGGTGTGATCTCAAACAATCTTGGTGGCCAATCGACAGGAGCAAAACGTGATATTATCTGTTCACCGAAATGTGCTCTCAATAAATCCATTTATTGGAGCGATGTTTGGGAAGTGGCTCCATCTTGAGCCAGAGACGGGCCTCATCGCTCTGCAAAATTTGGCTGGAACACGTTGGGACTTCATGAAACTTTTCAACAGTCAATCGTGCTAAATTTCGGTTTCACCGATTTAGTTCTATCGATTTTGATGAAAAAGCTGCTTCACGGTGTGGAAGGCCAAATGTCGAAAGTATCGATCAAATAATGGGAGCCGTCGAGTCTGACCGTCGTGCGACCACTGAGCTAAACATTGTAGGAAAAACAATGTGAAACCACTTGAAAGAGGCTGGATACACAAAGAAGCTTGATATATGGGTGCCAAATGAGCTAACTTGAAAAAACTTCATCTGCAACTCGCTGCTGAAACGTTACAAAATAGAATCATTTCTGTAGGGGATGGTGACTAGTGTTGCAAAATGGATCTCTTATAGCAACGTCAAATGGAAGCGGTTGTGGTCGAAGGGCAATGAGCTGGCACAAATTATCTCCAAGTCAGAATTGACGTCCAGGAAAGCAATCGCTCAGGAGCGCCTAGATTTGTCAAACAGGAGGGGAATTGTGTTTTCATCGCCGCAATGCCAGACCACACACTTCAATAGTCACTGCCCAGGCACTCCGAGAGCTTAGTTAGCCTCGCACCAACTGCTTTTGCCTATGATATGGCTGGTGAAGAATTGGCGTCCAGAGAGAAGCCTGTGAAAATCGATTGCCCCAATTTTTTGGTAAGTAGGAATGGGTGAGCTTAACTTTATCATTCCTTTAATATCATCTAGACACTTTAGGCCCCTTTCAGTAATTTTATAGCAGCTGATGAACAAATCTGTAACTGTTTAGTGTAAGAGGCAAGTGTTACAGCGATATTCCGGGATTGGTCACGGGTTTAGGACTGTCTGAACTGTCACGGGTTCATCGGTCTGTTGGACTTTTTGTATAACCCTCAGACGCGCCCCTCGGTCGGTTGGGCGGGTAACGTTCGCCTTAATAAAAAAATAAGTAAAAAAATAAATAAAGAAAAATAAAAAAAATTAAAAAAAAAATAAAAAATATATAAAAAAAAAATTTAAAAAAAGAAAAAAAAATAAATTTGCTTTACTTTCAAAATGGCGGAAAGTCATCGATCAAAATTGTGCATATTTGGCATAAATTAATTTAATGCAAAAATAATGGATTACTTTTTACTAGACTAATATATGTACATATACATATCCATAAATATATATGTACGTATATAAATGCACATGTGTATGTAAGCACGCTACCCATAGAGATTAACTGCTAGCGGAAAATTCAACATAAACTGAGTATAGAGAGAAAAAGAGAGTGGTTAATAAGTTGTGGTGACATTACAAAGTAACGTAACTCAAAATTTTCAAAAATATTTTTTTTTGTCCTTTAATCAGCAGGCAAAATGTAAGTTTGGCGGCGATCAAAACTTCTTGTTCATTCCAATTCTTTTACTGAAATAAAAAATTGAAATAAATTTTTCAGTTTCATTTTACGACTTTCTTAGAGCGTTTTGTACTAGTTGGTTAGTTAGTTTAACAGGTTTTCTGATCACGGAACTCTGATACGGTGCCTCATGGCCCGTTGTGATATCAATGTTTGCCCTTTCAAGGAGATTCCTTTCACATTTCCAAATGTTCAAATGTATTTCATGAAAAGCAGGAGATTTTTTTTTGAAAAAATTTTAATATTTTGAGTTACTTTATTTTTAATAACTGTTCCCACTCGTTTGCCATTGAAACTACCAACTGCAATTTTCCCCTAAAAATAGTAAAAAGAAAGTAAGCCACTCAGAGAGAAAACTGCACGATTCGTTTAACAAATTCATTCCGGCAAATTTAGTTCGTTTCGTGAGCTTTCTGAAGGAACACGTCACATATTCGCTGTGGTCGCTAAGCAGAACTGCGAGAATTCTATGCAATAGTTGTTGCACGCAAAACATTTGGACGAGCAAACGCGGAGTATGAGAGGGGCGTGGATAGTAGTGAATATAGAAGAATATAGAAAGTGAATTGAACCAAAAAAAAATAAACACAAAAAAAAAAATACAAAAAAAGACAAAAAATGTGTAAATCTAGTGGAACGAAATGTATTTAATCAGCCGTTTTTTGGGAGGCAAAGTTCGAAATGCGAGCAGATTTCCGTGGCCTCAATGGGAGAGGAAATGTTTTGAGTGAAAGTGAAAAATATACGAGTAAATAAAAGCAAGCTAGTACAAAAATTATACAACCCAAAATATGCCTAAGAAAATCTTTATTTATTTAGAAAAATAAATTAATTAAAAAACAAAAAAAAAGAAGAAAAAAAACAACAACGTCACTGGTGCATTGAGAATAGGCAAAATTCAAATTTTTGTGCTGCGGAAAACCCCTAATTGTTGGCCGCGTGCCATCAAAACCCAAAAAAAAAAAAAACAAAAAAAAAACCAAAAAATATTTAAATAAAAAATAGCCACAAACGAGGGCTCGTAGTAAGAAGAAGACAGACAACAGTTAGGCCAACAAAAGAGAGTGCAAACAATGAGGTGAGTCTGTTCAGCCAAGAAGCAACACAGCGTGAGCTTCTTCTGTACACAAGTGTGCGGCAGCGAAAAGGCCTTACTTGCCACTGCATTTACATACTATACATATGTACATATACTATACATATGTACATATGTATGTACGTGCATTTATTAAGTATAAAATTGTAAATTTTTTTTTCTTCATCATCATTTTCAACAACGCTACTTTGGCACACTCAGCTACTACTCGTATATATGTATGCGCATGTACATTTACATGTATATGTATATATGTGTGTGCACACTTATAAGCATTCGCAACGTGCCACTTGTGATACATCAGCGTATTTATGCAAAGCTATGCAAATCTCCTCCTTCAAGTCCTTGTCCCGTTCTCTATCTCTCTTCCTCTCTCGCTCTCACCGCTAATTTGAGACTATTGTATTCGAAATGAATGGATATTACTATGTAATTAGCATTTTGCTGACATTTACATTTTAGTCTATTTATGCCTTTTTGGATTTTTTTGTATGTATGTATGTGTGTAGGTGTTTGTCTGTGTATACACGTAGATACGTAGGCATTTACAAGTGTACAATCAGTTAATCGATAAATTGATTTTAGATTTTAGCAACCACTATACGAGTATATGTATGCTAACGTTATCCATATGGTCAAGTAAAAAGTTCGTTCGGTTTTTATCTAAGAAATGGCGTTATTTTCCATAGTACTAGTTTTACGTGTCGCATAATGTCATATTATACGGCGCTGAAAACTTGTTTATTCGCGCTAAAAATTTGTCTTTGACAGTTTTTCAATTGATTGACACAGTACGTTATGAGCGCTCGTTAAAGATGAACACCAGCAAAGAGAAAATTCGCTATGTTTTACAATTTTTCTTCGATCAAGGCGAGAAAGCAGCCAAAGCGGCTGAAAATATTTATTTAGTTTATGGGCCCGATACTGTAAACGAACGTGTAGCACAAAAGTGGTTTGCTAGGTTCCGTTCCGGTAATTTCGTTGTCAAAGATGCACCATGTTTTACTGTGTATTTGGCGAGTTTGGCAAGGAATCATCTACTACGAGCTGTTCCCCTATAGCCAAACGCTCAACTCGGCCCTCTACTGCCAACAACTGGACCGTTTGAAGGCAGCACTCATCCAGAAGAGGTCATCTTTGATCAACAGGGGCCGAATAGTGTTTCATCAGGATAACGCCAGGCCACACACGTCTTTGATGACATGTCAGAAGCTCCAGGAGCTCGGATGGGAGGTCCTAATGCACCCACCTTATAGTTCGGACCTAGCACCAAGTGATTACCATCTTTTCCCGTCCATGGCGTACGCGCTTAATGGTGAGAAGTTGGCTTCAAGAGAGGCCTGTGAAAATTGGCTCTCCGAGTTTTTTGCCAATAGGAACGCAGCCTCCTACGAGAGAGGTATAATGAAGTTGGCATCTCGTTGGCAACGAGTTTACAAACAAAACAGCGCATATTTGGTTTAAATCGGACAAATGTACAAATCCGAACGAACTTTTTACTTGACCCAATATATATGTTTAACTATATATTGATTTGCACGCGTCCATAGCCGATTTTGAATTTTTTACAAGCAAATGTAGTTTGCTATTAAATGAAAAGTAAACAACTTAAATTCGAATTTAAGCTCTAAATTAAGTATTCTGACTAAGGCTGAGCCAAGAAGCTCAAAATGTTACCGAGATCATTTGAAATTACAGCTGCTCAGCTTCAAAGCCCCGAAAACTCTGTAATAAAGAAAAAGACTGAACTTCGCTTGTTTACAAATGCGTACTACCATTCGTAAGGCAAGAGTTAGAGTCTTAGTCCAGGCAACATCGCCCCTCGGCTGGAAATGTCAAGCCTTTCGTGTGTATCTTGGATAAGAGATTAAAGCTCCTCATAAAAATCAATCGGCGGTTTGGTGGTAATTTGGTATAAATCGTAGATTCCTTCATTTATTGGAAAAACATCAAGGCGCCTAGGACAAATTAGAGGGGGAAGAGCTCGGCCGAAAATCTCTCCAGCGGTTAGAAAGCGCCAATTATATAATTTAAGATCAGAAAGTTGCCGGGAATTTGTCATTTAAACTGCCAGCGCTGAATATTTTTCAGTCCGTTTTTTTGCTAAGTTGGTAGCATTGTTCTTAATTACTATGCCAAAAATTAGCGCGATCTGTCAAACCAGTTTGTTTTCAGCCACCTTCGTCAATTACCTTGAAATAAGCCTCCTTAACATCGTATATATTAACCAGATATTCACCATGCGTCAAACCTTGGAAAATACCCGTGAAAAGAGATTCGACATATACCACGAAAAAAAAGCTGCCTCTACTCTACTATGTCTGAATTAGGTATCTCCGCAGAACAGTCTGAGTCGGGAAGGACCTTCCGAGCCGTTCAATACCAAACCCGGCTGCGGACTAGGTGTTTACTCACATTAATATATATATATTGATTAATACGTGATTCGAACTCGAATATAGAAGATACAATGATATGGACATTATTGGCCCTAATCACCGTGCCGTGTTTTGATTTTTCCACATTGAATAAGAAAGCGAAGTGTATGGGTCTGGTAGTGAATGAGGACAAACAGTCATCGCATTCGCGACTTGGCTCCAACGACACTCTTGCCATAATAATAACGTCATACTTTGTCCCAAAAACCAAAACCACACGTCCCCTTTCATACCGGTCCTACTATATGGCGCAGAATCATTGACGATGGCGATATCTGATGAGTCGGCCCTGGGTTTCTTCGATGGAAAGTTTTGCGAACGATTTATGGTCCTTTGCGTAATTTTTCTCGAATCTATTAAACCAAAATTTTAACGCCAATATTTGGAGATACGTATATAAGTACTTGTATAGGATCACATCGGACGATCCCGAACCATGAGTTGAATTAAGTTGAGTTGCTGCGGCTACTGGTCATTACCAGCGCACTTAAGCCACCAGTCACCTATTATCACACCGCTCTGAGGTGTCTTTTAAAGGCGAAATTTCGATGAGATAGTCGGAGAAGAGTTTTAAGAGGAATTTGGGTCGCTCTGATGTTAAGGCTGGACAGTGACAAATATGGTCCCGAACCTCGCCTTGGTTTAATTGTTAAATTAGAAGAAAGCAAATACATTCCACACAATCTCTAAAGGTTTTGTTATATACGATATGTATGTATGAACTTTGCCAAACTCATTTTTATGTAGATATATGTATATAAGCAATGTGTACTCTACTTATTGTTGTTGCACATTGTTTGCTCCATCAACCTTAGTTGGTTATTAGGGAAATCCGCAAGGATGTGGTTACAAATTGTCGGCGACTGAGACGTTGAATAAGGAAAAATTAAAAAAAAGGACAGTATAATTCAAACACACTCTTGTGGGAGAGTAGAAGAGGCTCAATTATGTGCACTTAAGAAAACTAAAACTAGAAACATACAACACATGAGCCAAACAAAGCTGTATATTCGTATGAACATATACCACAGAAAGTGGGAATAAATACGCGTATATAGCAGATCCTGATGAAAGAAAGCTTTCTGCTCAGAACCTCACAACGAGCATAATGGAAGAACGACGTGTTGTTGTGGAAACTTTTGATGGGCATTCGACTTCAAGGTCCTATCGAGTGTACTGTGTGAGGGGCTAAAGCAAACTGGACCTTGCCAGTGAGGTTTTAGATCTTGAAAATTGACATATTAAATATGCGCCAAACCTTGGAAAAGGACTCGTGAAAAAAAAGATTGACACATATCAGCTCTTCGTCAAGTTTAAAGCAGCCTTCTATGGTAAACCCGCAAACCAAATTCAGACAGCGACATCTTTTCATGCCATAGAAGGCTGCTTCAAACTTGACGAATAGCTGATATGTGACTTATGTGACTGTTTCAACTGGCGTTAAGCAACACCAACAGCTCCGTCATGATCGGAAAACGTGCTCCCTGATCGTGTGACTTCTCTATTTTATTGCTAGAGAAATTAAGGCATGCTGCAGAGCTCAATAGGGAAGGTAATATCTTCTAAAAGAGTGTACAACTGCTGGACATTATTGGCCACAACAACCGCGCCGTGAGTTCTGCTTTCTCCAGACTGGATAAGGAAGCGAAGCGGATGGCTCAGGTAGTGAAGGAGATCAAAATGAAATATCTACTGCCATCAAACGAACACTCGCCTCAATCCCGACTAGGCTGCCACGTCAATGTTGACAGTCATAACATTGAAGTCGTACATATGCATGCATGGTCGCATAGGTTGGAACCAGTATTAACGCCAACAACAATGTTAGTCTTCATATCCAACGCTGAATTACTCTTGCCAACATGTGATATTTGGTACTGAGATGGCAGTTAAGAAGAAAAGCCCTCTCTAGAGAAACAAACTCTGCAAGCCCCCGCTATACTGCATGGTGTAGAAGTAAGGACGTTGACATCTGTTGAACTAAACGGGCTTAGATCACAGAAAGGATGATAGACCTCGGCCGGATAAAATCCGGTTAAATTCTGGTGCGTAGAACGGGCTGTCGTGCCTCGATTTCAACATACCCAGTGTATGTTCTGCATGTAGAGAGTCTCACCGCACGACATTAACCATCTCTTAACATGCCACTAAAACTGACACATCCTACACACTAACCCGACGAAAAAGCTGGTTTCCTTTAGCTGCCCTTATATGATCTCGGTGACTTAGACTAACTAGCCTGCCCCTAGTAGGGTAGAGCAACCGCTACAACAACAACAACAACAATAACGTTGACAACATCGAATGAGTTCGCTTTGTTAAGTTTCTTAGAGAGAAATGATTTGCAGCAGATTTATGGTATTTTTCGCGTAGGCTGAACCGAACACCGCAGATGATGGGTCAAAGAGCTATATGAGAACTACAAGGATTAGTGGTAGAGAAGCATCTGGTTCACACTTGGTTTCTCCAATTGGAGGACTCTCGCATTAGAGCTTTACTCTCACATTTTTTTATTTGAAAGGACGGATAATGAAGTTTTGGCTACTTTTTATGAAAAATTATGTGAGCTGTTTGGTTTCCCGATTACTCGGAAAACAAGACAGATTCTTTTCCACTAGGTCTTTAAGAATTAATCTTACTTAGTAAAAAAAAGTCTAGATAATAAAAATAAATGTCTGCCATTCACCTGAGCTAAAAACTACACACGCTTACATATATACACTTACTTAAATATTAATGTAATCTCTTGCCATTTTAGTGAATCATTCGTAAGTGTCTTCAATTCCGCCCGACTGGCACTCGGCTCAACCGTTATTGTATATTTACTATCCTACAATGAAGCTTGTGGACCAGCAATCTTCTTTGCCAACATTTTCGCCGTGACATATGCCTTAATGGCAGGTGAGTAGAAAGCAAATGAAAGCACTTAATTACAATTAGCTGTATAATAAACACATATGTATGTATACGAGTACACACTGTGTTACATATTTTAATAAAAAACTTGAACTTTGTTATGCAAATATGCACTACATACATATACAGTTAATTTCATTCATTAAATATTATACATAGACGGCTTGGCAGTTATAAGTATTCAACTCATAAATTTTCTCTCTTCTTTTTCTCTTCTGCTCGCTTTCTTACTCCCTCTCTCTCTCTCTCTCTCTCTCCATCTTATTTTGCCACATTTAGCATACTGCAAATCCAGTCTTAATACCCTCCAAATGCCGTATATACGTGCGAGTAACAAATTCGATTACACCGTCCTCTTTCTCGCCACGTGGATGGATGTGCTGTCGCTGCTGTGTGCCTGCGCTACTTTGGCGCGTACAATGAGCACAAGTTTGGATGCAATGACGGGTGGCATGGCGCATATATTTCTACTGGGTATGTGAATATGGTTATTTATTGATATAAATTAAATTGCTTACGGTTGTATGATATGCAGCAGCAGCAGTGTAATTTGTTAAGTTGATTAATTTGAATTCATTGCATAATTTTAGGCCGCAACTCATCACCGAACGAGCCATGGCCGGATATACTGGGTGTTGCGGTGGTTATTTTAATAACGGCAATGTTTATGCTAGGCTTGGAGGTAACTGCTATTTAGAGATGGGTGAAAAATGAGTTTTATTATTTAATTTTTCATTTCAAATACAAATTTTTTTTTAAAAGTAGCAGTATGTATGTATATATCTTAGCACTATTAAGTAGTATAAATGGTATGAATTAATTACATAGAATTTCGTATAACTGAAAATGTATATTTTTACTCTCTCTCTCTCTCTCTGTTTTCAATTACATAGAATTCACATGTCTTCCATGTAATTATGTGGATTGGCATGTTCATCATAAACTCTATACCAATCGGTGCCACGTACTTGAAAGCAGATATTGTGGAATGGACGCGATATTTGTTTCGACCCAATGGCCTAACCAGTGTGAGTATATATATATATATATTTACATACATATACATTCTTCAAACAAGAAACAAACAAAACAATAAATAAACAACTCAAATTGTATAAGTTTTTAATTTTTTTAAATATTTTTTTTTCTTTTAATTTCTACTTGACTTTATAAATCCTGATACAGAAAAGTGTAGTTTCACTCCATGATGAAATAATGACAGGTCAAGTAAATAGCGTATAAAGAGACTTTGACACTCCCTAAGCTCAACGTTGTATTTTGGAATTTGAAGAGAAAGGGAGGAAACAAACAGAAATCGGAATTTTAGGGGGATTACACATAAATATTAGAAATAATAAAAAAAAAATTATAATAACAGATGTGGTTTGCTAGATTCCGTTCTGGTAATTTAGATGTCAAAGATGCACCAGGTTTTGCTGTGTGTTTGGTGGGATGGGCAAGGAATCATCTACTACGACCTGCTCCCCTGTGGCCAAACGCTCAACTCGGTCCTCTACTGCCAACAACTGGACCGTTTGAAGGCAGCACTCATCCAGAAGAGGTCATCTTTGATCAACAGAGGCCGAATAGTGTTCCATTAGGACAACGCCAGGCCACACATGTCTTTGGTGACGCGCCAGAAGCTCCAGGAGCTCGGATGGGAGGTCCCAATGCACCCCCTTTATAGTTCGGACCTAGCACCAAGTGATTACCATCTTTTCCCGTCCATGGCGTACGCGCTTAATGGTGAGAAGTTAGCCTCAAGAGAGGCCTGTGAAAATTAGCTCTTCGAGTTGTTTGCCAATAAGGACGCAGCCTTCGACGAGAGGGGTATAATGATGTTGGCTACGCGTTGGCAACAAGTTTACGAAGAAATACGCGCAAATTTGACTTAAATCTCGATAGCGCAATGCATTCACCGTAAATCTTGCTCGGAAGTCTCATTTTCGAAAAGGTAAGGCCCCATGACCCGTACTAAACAGTTACACTTTGAGCATGGAGAGCGAGGCTTTTCGACAGTAAATCTTGGGTTTTCCGAGTCCCAGATGGGACAGTTTTGTTTATTGACATAGCCATTGAGTTTGAAATGGTCCTCGTCAGTCAAAATGATTTTTCAAAGAAACTCTGGAACATTTTCATGCATTTCAAGGACCCAGTCAGCAAAGACCTGACATTGTTGATGAACGAACGGCGAGAGTTCTTTTGCTAACTGAACTCTATAAGCCTTAAGGCCCAAATCTTTATGCAAAAAACGGCGTAATGACGTTTATGGAATGCCCAATCCTAGACTAGGAAAGAACAAACCTGGGTTTTCTTCAACATTTTAGTCTACATCAGCTTAATTCTCAGTTGTTCTTGAGTGACCAATTTCTGTATTGCGGCATCCCTTGGCAGTTTTCTCGTTTCGACCCTTTTTTTCCTTAGGGCTATTTTTAAAGCTTCATTTGAAGTGTTACCAAAAGCTTTTCCAAAGCCCTTAAACACGTAGAACGTCACTCCTTTTTGTTCTACTGCACGTGCTTTGAGTTCCGAGTTTTGGAACAGTGCGCTATTTGTCCATCGGGCTCCTCTGTATGCATGTTGAGCATGATGTAGGGGAGTGCCGTTAGTGTTCTCAACCTTATATGGTAGTCCAAAATCTTTTTCCTTTCTTTTAAGCTGAAAGGCCTTTGTTTAGCCTAAGTCGAACATCAAGAGCGTTTAGATAACCAAGCATAAGAGTTAGAGCACTGATACATAAAGCTTCTCTGTGGTCTTTCAAGTTGTAATGCGTGGATTGGTTTCTATTAAGCCTTTTACGTTTTGCTCGTTGACAGTGGTTGGACGATCAGTAGTAGTTTGTTTTGTGACAGATCATCGGTCCCTATAATAAATTTCTTTTAATCTCCTACGAAGCACTATCTTATTTGTTCTTTTGGCAGTAAAAAAAATAAAATATACCGAGAATGATATTTTTCATTAACCATTTTCATCTCACTGGGGGTACAAATAAATTCGGTCCAAAGATGTCTCCATTTGCAAATTATGTCCGATCTTGAAAGGTGTCCCCTATTTCATTGGAAGGTTGTTGTCCACAATAATTAATCTTCGGATAAAAAGGATTTGCGGGAAGTTTTGATTTTTTATTTCAATGGGAAGGAAAGTGCCGCTGAAGCCCACCCATCGAATGTCTTTGCAATTTAATGGTGAAACTGCGTCGTCCGATAAGTCATATGGAGAATGGTTTCGACGCTTCAGAGAGCGCCCTGGCCAACACGAAAAGTTTGAAGATAAGAAATTGGAGGCGTTACTGCATCCAGATACTTGCCCACCAGGCGCAACCATCGAAGCGAAACCTTATCGACTACAACCAAACCATGAATTGCGTGAAAAACAACCAGAACCGAACAAACGTGATGACAAGGTGATTTATATATTATATATAACAACGCTCTGATCCATGTGGCTGTAACGGCCAGAATCTACATGAAAATGCTGTAAGGATACGTCTTACTCCATACGCCGTATTCTCCAAACCCTACCCCTTCCGAGTACTGGCTTTCCCAGCAAATGATTTGTGGTGTCACCGATTTGGATCTGAAAAAAAAAATTGAAGCAGGGCTTAATGTTTGCTTCGAGGACAGAACCTAGTGGTTAGCACTGGCGTACTACCATGCCGCAGCGCAGACATCGAGTCCTGATTCAACGAACATGCAAAATTAAAAAAAAAAAATATTTTTCTAATTTCGGTCGGCCCTCGACAGGAAATTTCCACCCCACCGAGTGAATTTCAGACACGAAATAAATGCTCCTCATAAAAAAAAAACATCAGCAGTTAGGAGGTGGCTTGGTATAAACTGCAGAACCGTTAAAAGTTTTGGTAGTTTATATAGATCTCGTTTCAAAATAAATGTCTTCTGATGGCCAACACAAAGCCTAGCAGATTCACCTGAAATCAACTGGTTAAAACAAGATGGTTTTTCTTGTGAGGCCCCAGAATTTTACCTCCACATTTTCGGTAGTCGGTGTACGCGATTTTCGAGTTTTTGCGGTCGGCATTTTCAAAAGCAAAATTTTGAAACAAACACATTTGAAGGAGCTTCCGAGATCTCTTGGTTAAATTGACTCAAAGGTATTTTTTGTATCACTTAAAATATTCAGAAAAAAATTTTTAGAATTATGAATTAATCTAGAAATTCTGACTAGACCCGAAACACCTAATGCCCATTATCATAACCGTTTTGTTTTGTTATTGTTTTGTGGTTATGTCAATGCAAAATAGAAGCAATCGAACAATCGTTGTACAATCCATGCGCAATCCAGACACGGATGAACCTTCTACTGTAAACGTACGCGTATGTATGTATGTATGTATATATATTGAACGCATTAATGCCATTATTGATATTTACTCCGGCGTCTTTATACCGGCTCGCTCTTGATATCCGACCGCTTGTTGCAATTATTTTGATTTCGTGTGGTTCGCTGTTAGCGAAACAATCCGAGGAGCTTTAAGAGTGTCTGCTACGCTACGTGAGTTTGTAAGGATATGTGTCCTTAATGCATGCATCAACTTCTGTACGCACATACACATATGTAAATACTTATATACACAATATTGATAGAAGGCATACGTACATACATATATCATTATAAATTGGATTTGCAATCAGCAGAAAGAAATCTGATGACTTAATTAGTGCAATGTATGTATGTATGTACGAAGGAAGTACTTATTTACCGTTGGGGAAGGGGAATTTAATTACAGCATATTAATGTGATTGTACCGAAGAAATGGTGTTATCTACAGTTCATTCTAAGCCGATGGAGTTTTACGAGCAGCCTTTATTTCATGATAGAAATACAGGAGGAGTGCTTGACACTCCCCTCCGAGCGGCGATCGCGATTAGAAAAATTAATTTTCTACAATTTTGAATGTTGGCCGGAACGGGACTCGAGATCTGGACATCTGAATATTAGTGTTTTATATAACCTCAAACAAAATATAGCAGCGTTATTACCCCGATCCAAGAACCAAAGGTCGCCCACATCATCAACCTTCAACTCTTTTTTAATTTGTTTTTGTTTTTACATTCACCTCTACAGCAACAACCTCCAATTCAGGCACGAAAATGTCATTAGTGATAGCTGTAGTGATCCTACCTGACTGTGCCATTATGGTCGCCTTCAGTTTTGAAGAAATACGGGCCAATGATTCCCACTGTCCATGGTGCGCACCAGACAGTGACTTTTTGAGAATGTTACGACGTCGGGATCGGTCCCCATCTCGTTTTGAGCCGATTCACAAAACATGCGGCCGGTATTTTGATGAACGTTCGGCTTCGATCCTTACACAAGTTGCATTTTGTAAGCCCACAAATCAAGATCCTTCCGAAAAATATACTATAAAGATGACGAATGAACTCATTCGGATCTTCTTCGATATTCTGTTCCACGGCAGCAGTAGCGTAGTGGACGCCGCCTCTCAAAATACGGATTGTCTACTAAAGTACACGTGGGGTGTAACCGATTTATAGTTGATCGAAAGACCGACTCTGTTGGGCGTTTATGTCGTCGAAATGATGGATGCAGCCTTAGTTTGCATTACTTTGGTAATGAATTTGTACGACTCGTGCACGTTGTTCCGAAGTCTGATTCTGTGTCATGTCCTTGTCCCTCGGGTTTCTGAGAAATTTCAACCAAACTTGGTACGCAGACTTGAGATTTTGATTCCTAAGTTTGCCAAAAAAGCATCTAAAGGCGTAAAATTGGCATTCGCCGCACATATAATGCATTACGCATGGACGCCGAAAATCACCTAAAGCGGAGGGCTATACTCGTATATATATATATATATCATATACACCAAATACCGATTTTGTCAGATAAGAGATTTTAGGTGACATCTAAAAGCATAAAATTCGCATTGCCTGGATTGAATGAACTTCATTTCCGAGTTTTTACAGCCCACAAAGGAAGCACCCACACCCAACCTTAGCGCTTCTGATAAGATGTTGACTGTATCCTCTATGTCCAAGCAAACAACGAAGCAAAAATCCTAACATTATAGGGATGACTCGGTAAACGAAAGGACTCTAAGGGTCGATTTTCTTTTTTATAAGTAACCGATTGTTGGGCAGCAGGTGGATGCTTAAGTCATTCAGTTTGTCTTGTGAGACCCACATAACTATATTCCTGTAGCTGTGGCAAAAGATTTGGAACATCCTCCTATAGCGAGTCCCCATCAGAGTTTGCTCTTATCTCTTCGACCAATGATCAGAACATCCGTCCTCCCGTCACTTACTAATGAAGGCCGAGCTTAGCAGGTATTGTGGAGAGGAAAGTGAAACGACCTTGCGTTGTTTTTAGCATTGAATCCAACCTCAATATTCTGTCAGCACATTTCAAGTCAAATAACCTTATCCTAGACAAAATGTGAGCAAAACGAGAAATCAAAAGGTATACTAGGTTTGTTCAGCTTACGGTTGTATGGAATAATCGAAATAGATATGGACTGACTTATATAATATATACATACTTATATACAATTCAAAATGGTCACCGGAAACATACTAAATTGGTGGACTAGCCACAGATAAGGTTCAAAGATCCGTCAAAAAATCATCTACACAAAATCAGAAGACAAACAATTCCTTCATATAACCGTCCCGGACCAATTTTTCAGTTACGAGATTGAATATTTTGAAATACCAGTGAAAGATACGACAAATTTCGACATGAACGTAGACAGTTCTTCTTTCTTGGTTTTTTATTCATTTATTTAAATTAAATAAAGTTACTTTTACTTTAATATATTTATATAAATCAAAAAGTAAAAAAAAAATATAAATTTTTTTTTTCCACAGCTTCTGACGCCAGCAGCAATACTAGTATTCGCCTATCCCAGCGAGTTTCCAATGCGTAATTCGTGCTTTGAACGCTTCAGAGAACTTCGTAGCTTCTGTGTTACGCACTTCTTCTTGACTGTGACGATATTATTTTTATCAACAGTCGTTACTTACAAGTGAGTAAAATTTTATTGAGGATTATAAGTATTAAGAATTACATACATAGATCAATTTAAAAAATGTATTTCATCAACTTGGAACACAAAACAAGGGCCACGGTCGAGAATTTCCAGAACGAGTAAGAGAGTTGAGTCGAGTTGTTTTGGCTCAATGTGGAACTACTTAATGTTCCTATCGTCCGTTGGTATATCTAATAATGGTAGTGGTGTTATGGGTAAGCCTGGACAAAGATAGAGATAGTGTTCCATGAACTTTGGGTACCCGCTATAACTTTGTGATACTAATACCCGAGAAAGGAAAATCGTTAAGCTAATGTGAGAACATTTAAACCGACAGATTGTTCACAAATTTGCTAGCAGAGTGAGAGGAAATATATTCTCATCTAACCATTCTTTGGAACTCTCCTTCAAGCTGTTAGAACATTGAACTCTGCTTCAGGTCGAAATCTCCTTTACTACGAGGGCGGTAAATCACATTGGAGCCAAATTTTTCATGACACTCAGGGAGCCTTATGTTCGTTCGCGATTAGTTCAAAAATCATGTTGAAATACCGCAGAGCTCTTATGATGCGATTTTCGGCCGAACTCCTCCTATGACTTTGTATCTTGATGTTTTTCCAGCAACCAGAGGGACCTACAGTGTGTACTAAGCCGCCTCCGAACGGTCTTTATGTTGAGCCTTTATTTCATGTCAGAAATGCACTCGTAGAAGTTGGCATTCCCTGCCGAGGGGCGATTTGGGCAATTAGAAAATTTGGCGACCACTTCTGGAGCAGACTTAAGCAGTGATTGCAGTAACCTCTGCTTCTGGTGATCTAATAGATGTTCTTGCCTAATGAGAGCATTAGTTAGTGGATCTCAAACCGAAGTCTATCAATGACCTGTGAGTAATCTTTCCTACTGAAACTCTTATTATAATATTTGAGAGCACCGTATACTGAGATTCATCCAGAACCGAGTTTCATTCCGTTTGATTACGTTGCAGTTCCTTAGAAATTGGACATGGAGGTCTACAGGGAAGGATGTTAAGAGGAGTTTCTGGAGCTTTTGTGGGAGTTATTGGCAGAGCTGTCGTTTGAGAACAAGATGGAAATATGGATCTAATGATAAATCTTATAGGTGCGCGAATTATCGAGAGATAAGCCGACTCAATATCGCATATAAGGCCCCATTTAACGAAATATAAAAGCCCACCGTCACCGAACAAATCGGACCTTATCAGCGTGGCTTTAGACTTTTGGATACTCCATGGTCTATATATTCAGCATGTGGTAAATCGCGAAAAAGACTCATGAGAAAGCTATCGATACACATCAACTCATTGTCATTCTTAAAGCAGCCTGCGAAAGGGAGTTGCCTCTATACATGAATTTCCCGGCAGGAAATGTTAAGCCTTCATAGTGTATTTCTGACGTCAAATTGGAAGCTTCTCATAAAATTCCGTCGGATATTAGGAGGCGGATTCGGATAAATTTTTGTTGGAGAAACATCAAGACGCATGCCATAATTGGAGGAGGAGTCAGCCGAAATTCTCTTCAGGGAGGGACCTCTACGAGCCGTTCAGCACCAAAATAGGTTTCAAATGGTATCGCCCTTTGTCGAGTGACTTTTTCTCCCTAATGCTGGTGCAGAACTGAAAAAGAGAAGTTAGAATCGTCTACAATAGCGTACAGCGATATCATTGGCCTTATGGTTCTGTTTACTCCAGACTTAATACTAGCATCGAGGCCAATGAGTCTGGTGGTAACTAAGTATAAGACAAAATATCTTTTGTCACCGTTCAAACAGTCAGACTCAGGGCTTCACTGTTGCCAGACATAATTGGCCGCAGATCGTCGCCCATCGTGGAGCCAACATAAACACCTACTCATCCTCAACCTCGAAATCTGACTGAGCAAGAGATTTAGAAGTAAAGCCCTTTTCGAGGAACAAGTCCTGCTTTAAGAGGCGGGAGCTTGTATATTGACAACATAAGTCGGCGTTACGAATTTTCGGGAGAAAGTTTTGAATCTATGAGGGTCGACGAGTGCTATATACGATTGAACGATGAGATGAATATCACTGTATATCTGGGTAATAAATATCATATATATTGTTCGCAAAACCAAAAACGCTCCAGCTTTGGAAGTAGTTACCGGTGGCAGTAGAAGAAAAGGACGACCTCCACTCCGTTGCAAAGATCTACTGGAAAAAAACTTAGCTTTATTTGGGGTCTTTGACTGCCGGATAGAAGAAACGACTGGCGCCTACGTCAGCTAAGAAGATATAGATGTCCCGCACAATCTGAATGCTTTGTGTTCTAAGTTAAAAATATTTTGCATTGAAATAAAATTAATTTATTATAATTTATTTTTAAAAATTTTAATTGTCATTAAATGAAAATATTTACATATTTTTCTTTTTTTAATTTCAGAACCGTTGAGGAGTACATTGCGAACCCATTATTCACATTGCTCGACGAAGTGGACTTACACAAACTGGTACCAGCTGTCGGCTGTGTACTAATGTTAACCTCCTCAGCAGCGTATCTGCAGTTCTTCCCCGAACTCTACGGCATCATTGTGCGTTTTGCTACCTCAGAATGGAAAGTACTCTCCAGGCAAATAAGTTACGAAAGTCCCGACAGCGGCAGTCCGGTGTTGGCCATCTTTATAAGTGGCAAGTTTTGGCCGAGAACTCCATTGGCGGTGCATATATATTTATATAGATTTTGTGATTACAGGAAGTCTTTGTGCGATGTTGGCCTTTGCGTGTCCCATGCAACATCTGATCCTCATGTTGGCGGCTAGTTATTTGGTTGCAGTCTACCTGCGAGCATTCTACTTACTGTACATACCATACCGTCCAAAGTACATACAACGCACGTGTAAGTTAACCGTGAATTTCTATTCTGCTACTAAGTAACCGGTTCAAAAATTGTCACCTCACTTGCAGTTACAATTTCATCGCTCGAATACAGTCGGCTGCCGACGGGAGCGCGCGCAAAACGCGAACGTTCAGCTTCGAAAAGTGGCTTAAAACGTAGCTTATTGAATGTGGCCAGTAAAAGTGTGGCGAGTAAAAGCGAAATCAAAATAATCAAACATAAGAAAAAAGCGAAAAAGGAGTTGGAGAAGGAATGGCTTTTACTGGGCGAGCCCACATCGCCATGTCCAACGCGCGAACCGAGAGATGTGGAGTCCGCAATGCAAACGAGTCGGGAGACGCCGGTAGGCAAGAAGCTTCTTCTTTCTCTCTTTTTTTGTATCACTAAAAAGTTCTATTTTCAACATTCTATTTTAAAGGATACCCATTATGTGTACCCGGAAAAAGTTGAGGCCACTGATACGGAGAGCTCCACCGATATTGATGCGATTGTCGATGAATATAGGCAAAAAGTTCGGGTGCGCATCACACTGATTTAGGGAATAAAACTTTTCGTAAAAAATAATAATTTTTATTCCACATTTTAGATTACAACAACAGGACTGATTAGCATCACCACCCGCGTGCCGACTGTCATCTCTTGGCGGCTTGGTTTGTTCTTTATATGTTTAGTGCCTTTCGGTTCACTTTTATTTGGAACGGCGTCTATACTACAGAAACAAGATGAGCTGCTCACATCCGGCGCTGGTGAGTATAAGAGATAGTTCATGGTTTTATCTTCATGGCTTTAAACATACATAAGGCTTTCCTAGGTGCAAGCTTCGTTCGGTTTGGATTAATTTTCGACCACTTCTTGAAACATACTGAGCGGTATCTCAGCCAAAACTAGACGACTCTTGGTTATCCAGTGCTCAAGAGTGCGTAGCGTCAAAGAAAGAGTCCAATCTGATGATGCCGGTGATCAATTGACATCGCCAAGACGAGAGCTTAAACGGGAAATTTCTCTCGATACAAAACTATATTCGGTCATGTAGTGTGGCATGCCGCTGTTGAAACCACATCATCTTGTCCATAATTATGCTCTTACCATGTTACAGACCAGAACAAAGTCGGTTATCATACGACCATAACCCTTCGCATTGTCAGTGAGCTAAATGTATTCGTCTAGCCGTTGCCGTTTTCAAACAAGTACAACTCAATCTCACTGCCATACGGGTGGAACGGCGTCTATTCAGTAATTTGAGCGATGCTTGAAGACCCAAAGGCGATAATTTTGCTTATATACATATCCCCCGAGTGATTAGGAGTGACTCGTCGCTGGAGAAATTTTTTTTTTTTTGCAAAATCGCCGACCACTGCCTTTTATTCAGGCAGCCAATTGACGTACGTATGGTGTTATGGATGATCAGCTGGCCTCGGTTGCTGTGTGAGCTGGACTTTATATGGATGTTGGGTGTAAGTTCCGTTGCGAAAAACACAATAATATACCATAAGAAAGTCGCAGCTCTTGAGAACGTCGAGAAATAGACACATTCGTGTCATCGGTTCCACTCACGCTAGCAATATTTGAGCGAGAATGAGCAAAACGATGATGCAAAGACCTTACGCTCTCTGTAACTGAACCAGTCTCTTAAAATTTCCATAATCTCCACTTAAAACACGAAACCTCGTGGCCTCGTTTGCATCCCCAATTTCGTATGAGGTTTTAACAATTTTAATGCGTTGTGGGGTTATTAGGCGATCCATTTTCATAAATGTTTCACTTTGAGTTAAAACAAAGCATGTTTGGTTTAAATGTCAAAATTGTCCTCTACTTTGGAAACCACGTAATCAATAACCTTATACTTTTTCTAGACCCTTTTTAAGTGATCCTTTCTTTTCATCATATCATACCCAAGCCAGATTTGTTTCGCTGTCTTACAGTTGCTTATGGAATTCCATCTGTTGAATGCTTATTGTTCAAATCGAATCTTCCTTCTGAGCATTCCTACCGAGAACGGTATTATCTCCGCTTTAGAGTCATGAAGAGTTGTTCCCGATTTTTCCAAATCGTCAATTTTTCATTACCAAGAATTATATTTTATTTTGCTGAGAATCTACTCGTAGATTATGGAGTTGCCTGGATGACCTGGCAGCGAGATTATCATTGGCGACGATAGCGTCAGCAATTTTGCTTGGCTGTCGTCTGTAATCTTTTGTAGTTTTCCATTTGAGCTCTACAGGCCATTTATTTACCAGGTGTTTCCGTTTAGAAGTTGCTTGCTAAATTCGATAGACACAAAGAGAGGAGATATCCAGTGAATGACGCCACTTCGGACCCGTCGGTGTGATATGGTATCCTCCTCTCCTATTAAACCATTCGTTTAATCCTTCTAGAGATCATCCACAGCTCAAAACTATTGAAATCTAACTAAATAATCTGTCCGTATTGTTTTTGATTCCAACTACCCCACTCCGTAAGCCTGATGTGACTTTGCGAATGGAGTTGTCTAAAGGCAGTTCCTATATCAATATGTTAAGCGCTTCCGTCAGACAGGACTTAATTGCTCCTGTAACCCCTGGATAGTTTTGCTGTGTCAAAAGGATTTGAATACCTTTTAGTTCAGGAATCTGAAAGTGTGGTAGATTGACCTTAGTTGTGAATAGCAGGAACTTCGTCTTACCACCCAGTTCGTTATTAGCGTTCCATTAGTGTAATCTTCATACGGTTCCCTCCACATTCTCACTAATTGTGGGGGATAATAACGTAAGCTGCTACTTTCGCTCCACTTCCTGGAATTCGAGTAGAATTCAGCGGTTATCGATAACACTAAGCCATTCTAAGCTGCGTTCCGACATAGACGTTTCCTTTGCAGTGCCAGTTTGTGTTTGTGACCTATCAATAACCACCCGGCAGTCGTTTGGAGATCAAATGATCACGACTGATCACACCTCTTACTTCATTTACTCTGCAAAAGAACTTGACGAGATTTTTTTGTCGAATTTTTTTAAGCCGTTTCTGCTCTTTATCCAAACGAAAAGCGTTTTGTTTCACAGAAGCCACTGGATTCGAATTACGGTTTTCTTTATAGCAATGATTCCGATCTGAAAAATACTGGTGGTCCGTAGGAATGAATGAGATTCAGTTCTGCGCAACAGATTCCTGCACCCACTACGTCGCCATATTTGATCCGTCCGTATAAGTGGTGCAAGTTCTTTCTACAGACTGGACAGTTCCGCGTATACCCTATCTTTTTGACTCTTAACTTAAAACGTTTTTTGGTATAAGGCTTTATTGCCCGCTCTCCATCGCACCAAAACACGGTAAAGTAAACCGGCTCCGACCGTTTAGCACCGAGTGCTTAATATCAAGAAATGAAGCGCATATCAGCTTTTTATATGCAGCAGATGTTGCTGGCCTTTTTCGGTCTCTTCTTGATATTGAGCCTACACAGCTGACTACTATCTATTTAGAATAACTCCGAGATACATATATGGTGTTGTCGCTTAGAACTCTCCTCCTTCTCACTTTAAGTTCATACCCTTTCTATTGTGGAGATATCGGAGCCAAGACTTTGAATTTTCTGTTGAAGAGTACCATGTGCGTTTTATTCACATTTACCTCGAAGTTGGCTTAACTTGGTCGTTGATGTCTGATTCTTAGAGCGGTCTCCACTACATTACCAATGCTATTCAGAGACTTTTCCGACACTACTACTCGTCGGCATAAGCAATGCTCTTAGGTGTTTTCCTTCCAAACTTTCTCAGAGGCTCGTTAGTTCAGATGGCTATGCTTCCGCAAGTGAGCCTAGTAAGTCTGACCTCCAACCTTATACTTCTGCTAGTTAGCAGACTTTTCATCCGTAATAGGATGACACGTTCTGCACTGAATAATTCCAGTACAGTACCGTGGATCCACCCTTCATATAGGCGTAACTGCCGCAAACTCATATCTACTTTAAGCCTTTAGAATTTCCCCAAGGGTCTTCAAACAGGAATGAAGTTAAGCATATAAATCCGCATTCATCCTAGTAGCGAAAGACTTTTCTGTTCGCCTTCGCTATCTATACAATTCTCGAAGAGACAGTTATATATATAGAGTTGAGTTGAGTTGATGCGGCTACTGGTCAATCCCAGCACATTTAGGCCAATAGATCCATTGTAATGCACTGAGTCTCCTTCCTTCACCTTCCCAAATGATCAAACCATTTCGTGTGCCTTATAAAGACAACGAGATTTCCAATGTTCGCTGAGCCAAACTCAACGAGACAGTCGAAGAAGTATATCCACGGAACTTGTGTAGCGGGGATGTCAAGGCAAGGATGTCAGAGAGTGGCAGAGGTAGTGCTCGATGGCATTTTCCTCGTCTTCGTCCTTACAGCTGCGGCAGAAATCGTTAGAGTAATAGGCCATCCTATTCCCATGAAGCTCCATTAAACAGTGTCCAGTTATTATACCAGTCGTTAAGCTAATGGAGAACTGGTCCAGAAGGATAAGATGTTTAGATCTTTTCGCGTCCAACTTCGGCCATAACTGTCTAGTCACGTTACACGTGATGTACTTATTCGTGGGCAGAGGTAAACCAGCATCATGTGCGTGTTTCATCGTAGATAGAAGGATTTCTTCCCTTGATCCGCCATTCTCATGCTCATGCTTACTGAGAGCACGAGAGAATAAATTCCGCAACCCACCCTCCCATCAAGCTGTGAGTCATCTGTGAAAATGGCTATGCTCCCTGGTCGGGGCGTTGGTGTTTTCCCACTCCCATATGTTTAGGATACTCGTGGAGAAAAGATTATCGCAAGAGATAATATTTTTGTATATCCTGTACTGCGATTCTTCCAAGGTCGGGTTGCATTCAATTTGATTGCGTTGCAACCCACTTATAGTTTCCCATACAGGTCCAGAGGAAGGAGGCTGAGAAGAGTTAGCAGTGCTTTCGACGTAGTTAATGGCAATGCTCCCGTTACGAGGATGAACGCCGTTCGTTGAACATTCTCTAGTTAGCTCCTGAAGGTGATTTTTATCGAGACCCCGTAGAATAGAATTGGCTTAAATACCGATGGGCATATCCAGTGCACGATACTCGGTCTTAGACCCCATCTCTTTCCTATCGCCGTTTCGCTGGCGTAGAGTGCAGTTATAACTTTCCTTGCTCTTTCTGCCGTGTTCCGTCTCCAGTTTAGTTTTTCATCTAAGATTATACCAAGGTATTTGACTTCGAGAGAGAGGGTAATCTCCACGCCCTTTAGTTTGGGTGTTTTAAAGACATGCGGCTTGTACCTTATGGTAAATAGCACCATCTCGGTTTTCAGTCCACTCTTCATATGTGTTGTGTAGTAAACTAGGTGCAGAAGGCTACTTGGATAGTTACTTTCTTAGCCTAGCAATATCCTTCGTGCTTCTTGTTCCTTCAAAATTTATGTTAACTAAATCCATAAAAAAACCAAATTTAACTAAAAAACTCTTCCGTCTATCTCTTCTTTCAGTTTCTGTGCTCATGAGTTCAATGCTTTCGCTATTTCCGCGCCACAAAAGCGGTGTTGTGCTTGTGAATTCAATGTTCTGCAGTATTGTCATGTTGGCCAGTGCGTCCCTTTACTCCGCATGCGCCTACTACACGTGGCCGGCGATTGTATTTTGGACGCTTGCCGGACTCATGCTTCTATTGCGCTGTGATAACTGGTGTTGTAGCTGTTTCGAACAGAGTGGCGGCAGTATACAAGAACAGCTGATACCCAGCGATGCACCGAAGCCGAAGGCATTGACGAAATCAACGACTATACATATACCCGGGCCGCCCACTAATCTCGTGACAATACCAACACACGTGAATGCGGCAAGTAGTTGACAAATCGAGTCCTCAGAGAGTGAGGATCTCAATGTGTGCGACTTCAAGGAGAATAGAAATGGTGACGATGAATTTTCTTGGAGCGAATAGAGAGTTGTGTGAAAAAGAAAAAAAAAACAAAAAAAAAAACTATAACTAATTAGCAAACATACTTACAAATACCGTATACTTGAAGTCGAAGAAGGTCAAACAACTGTGTACCTATCACCTTTGTGCGGAATCTTGTGCCGTAGTCGTAGCCATTATCATTGCCATCGCTGTAGCTGCTTGCTTGCTTGCAACTGCTACTTGGAACTGGATGAAGACGTATTTTTTACAAAATTCAACTTCGTAAATATAAAATTCATATATCATGTATGAGATAATATAAAAATTTGTTTTTGTTGGAAATTTTTGTAAGTATGTTTTTGTGAATTTATCGACTAATATTGGTCTAGTAAAAAGTAAACCATTAATTTTGTATGTATGGTATGTCAAATATTCCTCGTTTTTCTCGATAACTTTTTGCCATTTGGAAGGTCATGTCATTATGACTCGGTCAAAGAGACCCAAAAAATTGGATAATGAATTTTCACAGATTTCTCTTGAGGCCAATTCCACACCAGCAAAATCATTCGGGATTTATAGAAACTACTGGTAATCACTTGGAGCGAGATACGGAATGTAAGATGGGTACATAAGAACCTCACAACCGAGCTCTCAGAACTTCTGGCGAGTTACTATCGATATCTGTTGCCCTGATAAAAGAGAATTACCCTACTGTTGATCAAAGCTGGGTGCTTCTGCGCTATAGCTTCCTTCAGGGGTATAAATTGCCGAATTAAGACTTTGGCCGAAGGGGAGCAAAACAAAACATTTCTTGCTGTCAAATTTTGCTTGAAGACCGCTAGTGATGGCTTATTGCGCTTCGGCCACATCCGTTTTCATTGGGCGCTGCTGTCAGTGATGCCGTCCACTTTGCTACGATTCAGCAGCGATTCGTGGTTGGGAATTCTGTCCTTTGTGCCTCAAATCTCCTGGTTCCAAATTGTTTTTTTTTTTGTTGTGCAATTTTTAGCTTCCAGGTAATTGCATGATGGTCAGACTCAACAATTTCCATTATTTTATCGATATTTTCGATACCGTGGATATCGAAACTACCGAAACGAAATCGACAAAACCAAAATCGTGCCTGATTGTACTGTTATTATATTAGCTTAGGTAACGCGATTACAGCCGAATCAACAATAGTGCCATTCGTTCCTTCTTTTCGCTGTTTGGCACCAGTTGGTTGTACGAAGAGAAGCCAGCCGAACCTTCTCTGTTTTTGTTGACGGCCGTTCTTTGCTGTGCAGGTGCGTGTCTTGGCTGCAATCAGTTGCGGTTTCGAGATTTTTTATCCGAAGATGAATCGAGGAATTCGTATGTATAGGAATCTATCAAAACAGACAAAAACATTCCGGACCCGAACTTGACCAGCCTCAAATTATTTGGGTATGTGTCGTAAAGAGGGCTGATTCTTCTGACTGCTCCATCAAAAATAGATTCTTTGACCACCCTAACAAAGCTTATAGGATAAAATTCACATATAGCTAGCTAATTTCTTTAAGACCCTTCCGCTCTCGCACTTCAGCGACTTCCTAAGCCTAATTTGTCGGAGTGACTCGACTGAAGATTCCCATCTACATATGGTCAAGGTGTCCGACGAGGGCGCAAGAGTTGGAGTTGAGTTTTACTTTGCAAGTGTTACTGCATATCCAAAGTCAATACTATGTACCATTAAGTAGAAGGTTAAGTACTATATTTTTATCTTCCTTAGTAGTACTATACTTCACAGGGCTTCACATATCCACCTTCAATCGACTAGACTCTGCACAGCGCCAGGTTAGGTAAGATGGAACTGGTTCATTCCAGCGAGTCTCATTTGGACTATACTAAGCTGTACTGCGTTCTTTGCTGTGTCTCTACCTTGAAGAACACCGCTGTTCTCTTGACAAATTCAAGTAGTCCTTTTGACTCTTTTTCCATTGTAGTTCCCACAGTATGGCAAAGATTACATGCTCCACTGTCGCCTCACCAGACCGAGATTGTAGTCATACAACGCCAAAAGGGAATTCCCCAATAATAGTTATACTAGCAGTTTAGAGTCCGCCTTCACTTTCGCTGGAAAAAGCTTTCTTCGCGAGGACCTGGTTCAAGAGCGTACCTGTATCACTAATCAGCCCTTACCCGAATAAAAGAAGCTACACTAGCTGTAGCGGTTTGTTACCCAGTTTAAAGTTAGGGCTGCTAGAGAACAGCGATCAAAAATTGACACTGAGCGCCAGAACATTACACATTAGAGTCCACGAGAGAATTATGCTCAGCGATGCCTTCCACGTAAGCAATATGACCTCTATAAGTTCTACTAGGAGGAAACATAAAGCCGAGAAATATTTAGTGAGAGAGCGAGCGCCTGGCTGCAGCCACGATAATGATGAGTAAGACGGAATTGAGGAGCGAGCGCCTCACTGCAGCCAACCTTAGTTATCACAACAGTATCGAGCAGAAAATCCCATGAGGGTCATATTGAAGAGGCAGCGTTCGAGTGAGTGCAGAGTCTCTAACGCCGGCTAAATGTAGTGATCAATTAGCTACTTTGTATTACATAATGAAATTGGATCTGAGGGGGAAAAGATAATGTTTAAATCTCGTTTATCATGAGTAGATTGCCTACGAATATAAATGTTCATAAACACATACATATATGTACATATGTATACAGACATGTCTATGATAAGTCGTGATAATACTTTTCATTTAAAAGTAGTCTAATGCAAGCATACGAAAATATAAATTATCACTGATAAGCGTAGAGGGTACCCTGCAGGGGAAATATACAAGTAGTTAACTAAAATCCAACTAGTCCAACTTCCATCTACTTTCCCTGTAAGAAAGTGCTATTTTTAATACGACGGCGATGTTTTACTCACTGTTTATTAATTGTCAGCATATACATCAGATTTATACTAGTTAAATACCAGCTCATATATACCAGTTAAAATACTGGTTCGTTCATACCAGTTGAAAGCTAGTCCGCCTCAGACCAGTCTGCGTCGTACTAATCAAAAACCAATTCGATTGATTCCGGCATTCCACGCCGTGTGTTCAAGTAGATTTAAAAATGGTTTTGAAAAACTCCTTTCACGGGCAGTTGAGTTGTTTGAAAAAACGCGCTAATTATTCACTTTACTTGAATTTTCGGACATTATTTCTTCCCAGGAAGTGTATCGTCGAAATATAAAAAACACAATATTATTTGGTTCTTGTTGTTTTTGTACTTAAATAATGTTTGGTCGGAGTTTCTAGTTACTTATAATTCCTTCTTTTTTATTGCAAAAAGAAAAAATGGTATAAATTTGTTCGCAAAATACTGGTTAATATACAAAAATTTTTGAAACTAGTTCGGATTTTACCGAAAAATACTAGTATAATACTAGTCTGTGATAAACTAGTATATTTTTGTACTTTAAATACTAGTATAGTTCTAGTCTATGGCAAACTAGTATGATTTCGTCTTCAGTCTATTAGTTTTCCCTTTTCCTACAGGTTACATGCAGGAGTATTCATGTATATGCATGTATATATAGACTATCTGCAACAATAGTATATACTCATTATCCAACACACTAAGTGATCACTATTTAAATACTGAGTTGAGAGCAATTGGAAAAATTAGCTAACGATCTACAATGCAGCTGACAGTTCTGAATTGGCGAGTGTAGCAAACAGATGTAAAAAGAAATGAGTGAGAAGAAAGTGGAAATTTTAAATGCAAAAGAATGTGAAATAATTGCTAGAAATGCTTTAAAATTAGGAGAAGCTGAAAGCGTCAAAATCTTAAGTTATGCCCTTGCAAGGGGTACGAATGAGCTCATAGGTTTCATGGGCGAATATTTTAAATTAAACATAGAATTGGAGAATGCGGTAAGAAAGCAAAGGCATAACGAATATTTTGTTTCTGTTTAGACGTGTGGTTTTCAATGAGGCAATACCCTTTTCGGAGTTGGTCTTCTGAGGAGCCGGTACTTTATTTATACTCAGTTTGATTGGCCATTTCGTAACGAACAGTCTTACTTCGGAACAATATTTGCAAGTCACGGCAATTTGTTATCGAAATAATAGTTCGGTGCGTTCAATATTAGGTCAAAATAATCGCACAGCAGAGACGGTAACTCGAGCAACCATGTCACGGTTTCCAATTACGTCTATTCTAATACATAAGACTGGTGTGGAGCTAGGTATCGAAGAAACCCGGAATGAGTCTATTTGCTATCACGTGCAATCATTGGCGCAGTGCCCATCAAGTTTATGGATCATTGTATGGTTCAGAAAGGCCCATCCCAACTCTGACATTTTCCAGCGTCACTTTCCATAGCCGTAAAAGTTGTGCGTTTTGTAAATACCACATTCAGACAGAGTGGCGTTGAGGCGGATTTTTTTCGTGCTGTCGAAGGTAGTTTTAAAATTGCCGGTAGGCTTTTTAGACTTTCACACAGTACGCTCTTTAATTGGGACAGATTTTAAAGTGTGTGTTTTTCGTAGAATGGTCTGAACTCACTGAGATTCCGATCGTCAGTTATAGACTAAGCTCAGCTTCAGCTTCAACTTTACCAGTTCTTTGCCCTCTTCGCCGCTTTTTTGTTCTTCAGGCAGGCAATTGTTATTCGTACTCGAAGATCTTATCGAAGTCAGGTAATGGCGCATGTTTACCATCGATTGAGGTTTCGAGTTCGCATTGAGGTTTCGAGTCTCTAGGTGGTTAACATTCAGGTGGAAGAAGTGTTCGTTCCAAAAAATCAGTACTTCTTGAACATCTGGGTCCATTCTTGAAACCTTCTGTAATTCCATTACAATGTACCAAGTTGAGTCGAGTAGAAAACCAGCTGGCCGTCGAGGGCCGCGTATTAAAGGCCATTTTTTGCTACACAGAGGCGGTTGGATATGTTGGCTGCGATCGATCCAGGCTTCGAGGAGCCAACCGCGGCGGTCAATGAATCAAAGCTTTGCAAAAAAAACCTAATTCCTAATTTATATGCCTTTTATATCCTCGTGAAAACCAAATGTTTAAAAAAACACCCTTTATACATGCATGTTGCTTAAAATAAGTATCCATACTAATCAACAGCACTCCGGAGAAGGAACTAAAAAACTCTGTTTCTTTGTGAAATCGGTGCCCATAGGCAATGAGCTGCATCGTGCCGAGTGCGAGCGTAAGAATTTTTTCCAAAAAGAGTCGTGTGCGTATACGAAGATATTGCCGAATATACAAAAATATGGTGAGAGCAATTACAATATGTCATTAAGCTTTCATTGCTTTCAACACTTAACTTCTCATTTAGCTACAACGAAACTCTATCCTGAGTGTTATTACGCACGAAAAGATTTATTGGTCCTCGAAGATCTCACTGAGCTGGGCTACCGACATTTGGGACGTGATGAAACTTACACTGACAAACACCGTAAATTATTTCTCACACATATGGCACAATTACATGCGGGCAGCATTGCTTGGGAGGAGAAGGAGGGCGTCAATATTGAGGAACATTTTAAGGACGGCCTATTCGAGTTGATGTTGGCTACAGATAATGATTGGTACATGACTAGTGCTAAGGTAACTGGAATAACACTGTTATTACGGTGTAATAATGTTAGAATGGTTTGGTGGTCAATAGCACCAGTTGGAGGTCGTCGCGTAGGACGTCAATGCCTTTTACGAAATTTGAGTTTGGTATCCGGTCTTGAAACTTCTTTCAGATTTTTATGCGTATATAAGGCCAGACAGAACCAGAGGAGCTTTTCCAAAGTCTCAACCATACCTTCGTCCCAACATTTTCCACATATCTTTTCCTTCATTACTGGGGTAGACACAGCCGTGTCTAGCCGAGAAATTTTCTGCCTACCCAATATGCTTGAGTATGATCTCAGTAAGATATGGCATATCTTTAGGCCTACACTGTTCTGCAGTCCCTTGCTGGTTGTGCTTTCCTTTGCAGACATTAGCGGTATTTCAGTTCATCCATATTTTTATAACTCGTCTTTCAGCTACCACGGAAATTTCAGAGTTTGTACTGAATCTTTGGCATCTTTCGCATGAATGGTTTTATGGCGAGATGGATGACATATTTGGTAACCTTTTCATGTATCTAACTCTTTATGACTTGGAACCCAGGTAAAATTGTTGAAATAATACAAAAATAAACCTTCTTTTTGGATAAGGCATCGTTCAAACGATTAAAGACGGCCTTGGGAAAGTTGATTTGCTTCAATCTATTGAGGATGATTCGTCAAATATGTCTGTTTATTCTTAGAGAGATCTCGTTCGTTCTCCTTTTGATTTCGCTGTGTTGAGTGACCAACCAGGCTATAAGTTAGAGAGCGAGCCGTTCACAGTCCCAACTTTGATGAACAGATGGTGTGAACAGACTTTAGTGAAATGGCTTTACAAAAACTATCTCTCTCTCATTCAGAATACTAGGCTCCTCACGGGTCGGTCACCACATCTCGCAGATGCGTTGCTCACGTCTTCAAAGTGAGCGACGCGAATGAAGGTACAAAGCTGGATTATTTTCATTCATCCAGGCGACATGATGTATTCCAGCCGATAATCTAGAAGACTGCCGCTGAAACCACTGGACTATATATTGTAGGCCTCTTATAGATTATTGTGCGGTCGTTTGTATAATTCAATTTCGTTGATAGGCATAGAACAATAAATCCTTCTATAGAAAACTTTTAATGTCATCTCATCGGATGTTGGCAACGTCCACATCGCCGTGCCATTGTTTTCGAACACACTGTGCAAGAGATCGATTGTAAAGATGGTTGTATGTCATATAATGCCACTCTGTTGAGACCAAAGATTGTCCTCATTATTCTCTTCAACATTCGGAAACAAGTAATCAAAGAGCAAGGCATGATAAAAGCAGCTCTTTTCTCGTTTCCGGGGACTAATGATGCTCACAGTCTACATGTACCACCAAACTGTCACGCCATGAGTATGCTTTGTCTTTTCCATGGATACGAGTGGGTTCTCCGAGCCCAAAATCCGGCCGTTTTGTTTGAAAAATGCTTATCATCCGCAAAGCGATCTTCCAGCCATTAGCAGAAACGAAATCGTATAGGTTGGTTCTGAAGCTTCAGTTTTTAAACCAATTGTCATACTGAGCTACTTTTACCGACCGACCGAGTTCGAGTACACTTTAAGCTACAACAAGCAATATTTTCCTCTGAACGCACTGGACGAGTACGTACCCGACTTGTTTTGTTCGTTACGGAAACGGCTTCGAGAACTCGCTGCCTAAATCGAACCCCAAACTACCAGGAAGGCGAGATACTTCACTCGAATTTCGTGGGTAGTTTACTTACAGCTGCGTGTGAAGACTCACCATTTTTCTTCAAGCTTAAGCTTAACCATTTCGTAAGCTGCAAACACGGTACCGAAGAAGAAATCCAATGAAGAAGATACCAAAGCTCAAAGAGCATGACCCGCTATCATTATTTATTATATAATATTATTAAAAACCAATAAAACAAATTTTCCTTTCTAGGGCATCATATTCCTAGCTAAAAACTATCTGCGATCCCAAACACCCGAGGTACAAACACTCATCAACGAAAAGCTCTTTACACTACTCGTGAATGTGGAAAGATATACGGAGCCCTCAAAACGTATGCGGAATGTATTCTTGCATCGCGACTCTTGGGATCGGAATATATTTTTTAAATTCGATGCTGAAGGCGAACCCTTGACCTGTAGCATTGTTGACTTCCAATTGAGCCGCTACGCAACCCCCTCTTTGGATATGCTCTTCTTTTTGTACGGTCAAACCACACCCAAAGAGAGAAAGTTGTATATGCAAGAGTATATCGATCATTATTACGATGCGCTAACGACGCGCTTCAGAGAGTTGGGTCTACCGTCCGACATCATAACAAAGCTGCAACTAATGGAAGATGTACGGCGTGCGCATTTGCCGGCGCTCATCATTATGGCCATTACGAAGCCGCTCACACTGATGCCCGAGGGCATTTCGAACAAATGGCGTGCAGAGGAGCAAGAGAAATTCGATTATTACATGAATACGCAGCGCGATGAATTGTTCCAACGTGTTATGGCAATCGATCCTACATACGAGGCGAACATCATGCGGCCAATTGAAGAGCTCATTGAGTATTTACAACTAAATCCGGATTTAATGGAATGAAAATCCTAATTTTATGATGAAATTTCGCAATGAAATAAAATTTTTGTAATTTTAAATTAATTTTTGTTTTATTACTCAAATTACTACAGCAACAAGTGCATCATCTCGTCGATGCACTCAATTATATATTCTCTGAATTTTCGATCAATTTTCAGCAACTCCAGCACCTCCTTAACGCGATCGACATTTGTGTAGCGATGAAAGGCATCCGGATGATTTAGTTTTAGATTTTTCAGATAATCACCGGGTACGCGTAAGATAGTCGCTGAGATGCAGTTGTAGAGTGCGCCAAACAGCTCCAACGCTTGCAGTGACTGCACAAATTCGCTTCGACTAAGCTGTTGTGCTGCGTCCAGTCCCTGCTGCTTGAGTTCGGCAGCAAAGTAGTTGTAGTACGTCTCATAATACTGCTGCTTCATTGCTCCTCTTTGCTGTGGTGTTATATTGAGATAGATCGTCATGAGCACATCAATGGCGGGTGGACTATAACGCGCCAACTGGTAATCTACAAGCACCACTGGCTGCTTGTCAGGCTGGGATTTGTTGAAGAAGAAGTTTCCACCCCAGAGATCACGATGACAGAAAACGTTGCGATATTTTCTAGATGGATTAACCATTTCGTAAACACTATCTAGTTGCCGTGGCAGCTCGTCGGCGATGAATTTCTGCATTACCTCACATTGGTAGGCGGGATGAACTTGCACCACTGCAAGAATGGCCTGTGGAAATTAATGAAATAATAATGAAGAATAAGAAATAATCGAAATTTAGATGGAATGAATAAGAATCCTGACCAGACCTACATCCAAATGATATATAAACGTGTAACTATTTGGTGCGGCTTAGGGTTTGGCGGGGTCATCAAACCTTACTTTTTCGAAAATGAGGCTGAATGATTAATGATTTTCAATAGCCGGTATGGGATGGTATCAACCAGACGGCGCTCCGTGCTATAAAAGCAGCTCAACTATCGTTGTTTTAAGCGAAAAGTTTTCGGACCGTGTTACTTCTCGAAGAGGGGATCGCAATAATCCGCCGGGATTTTATGACTTAATACCTTACGTCATGCTCGTCAGCTCGTCTGTTTGAACGCTACCTAGTCTCTCAGGTTTTGCGACACTCTAATCAAAATTGGTACACAGATGCAGTGGTAGATTTGGATGATCATTTGTTGGAAAAGGCCAGAGCGGTACACTATTACATGTTACGAGGACAGTCAAAATTTCGACTACAAAAATCCAAGGCCGTGAAAAAATCCTCAAAGCGGCAGCAGCTGAGGTTGCTTGCAACCTACTAGTCAATCGGACAGGGAGGGGAGGGAACTAAAGTTTTTTCTAAACCGTCACCGAAAGAGTGATGACTGTAATAGAGAGCTTTTATTCACTCATAAGAGTTGACTCTCGCAGCCGATTGCTGACTGCTATAACAACTTTTTTCCTATAAATTTGGTAGTTGATCTGACCAGAATAAAATAAAATTTTGACACAAATTTTAAAATAAATAAATTTCTCACCCTCACGCCCGCTGTATAAAATACAACATCCGGCGTCACAGTCATCTCTCTCAGCACATCGTTCAACTCCTCACCGATACTCACGCGATTCCTTTCCTCATACACAATACTACAGGCATGCATGGTGGCTAGACTCTTCAGCAGTACATTCATTTGTGATTCTGTTAGGAATTCCGCTGGCTCCTGCACCGGCTCATAGCCCATGTCGACAATATTTTGCATGACAAAGAGATCGCGACGTGTAAAGTAGCATTCAGCGCACCAGATGGTCGTTGCTGTGTGGCAGGTGGTGGATGATAAGAAAAGATAGCAGAAATAAATACAATACATACGTACATACATGAATATAAAAAATTACTACAAATAATGGTAAATATTAATGCGAATGCTAAAATAAAGATAACAGTTAAAAGAGACAAAAACAACGTATAATTATTTTATTAACAAATAATAATGAATAAAAAACGTTTTTTAATTGACAGAAAATGTAGATAATTCATGGCATCTAATTTGTATGATTAAATTATGAAGACACGTGCGTATTTGCTCATAAAAAATAATAATAAATTTTCGCGTTGATCTTTTTTACACTCTTTTGCTCTTTATCTACACACTACATAGGCCACTCACTCAATTTTCTCAATTCATTCAAGAGACGCTCGTAGATTGCAGCCTCTTTGGTGAGCATGCCACAAGCTTCAATGAACGCTGTCATCTTGGGATTTTGATAAGGCAAAGTTTTCACAAATAAACGTGTGGTTTGAGTATTGCTGGACTGAAAGCAGAAGAAGAAGCAGCAACAGCTTAATTAGTTTACTAAAAAGTATTTGATTTCTTTTATAATTTGATTAGCTGATAAAGTACAAATGCATGCACGATTATGTGACGGTATACTTTAAATTAGTTGATGACAGTTTGAAATAATGTTGCTCTATCTCATTGTCTCAGGTGAGGAACTATCGCCGAAGGAAAAGTGAGACACTCTCTCTCACTATTATAGCCGCAATCCGTCGTATAACTAACTTAGAGAGCGCTACGAACTGGTCTAAATAAGAGATGAAGTACCGCCTTAAGCCACCGAAGTAGTTGTTGCGTGCCTGCTTAGTGAGAACTTAGCACTACCTCAACAAAGGTGTGATCCTCGAGATTCGAAAATGTTGAGAAAATAATGGAAATCTTCGAGTCTCACCGTCATGCAAGCACTGTCTCTATTACCAAGGAGCCAGACATTGCCCAACAAAACAAATTGGATCACTTGAAAAAAGCTGGATACACAAGGAAGGTCGATATATGGGTTAACGAGAAAAAGCTCATACACCGAATTTCCTTTTTCTCCATCCTTCGTAAAAAAAAACCAAACCATTTCTGAAGCGGATGGTAGCTGGTGATGAAAACTGGATCACTTACAGCAATGAAAATCGAAAGCGATAGTGATCGAAAAGCAGTGAGCCGACACAAACAGTCTCCAAGCGGAGATTCAGGGCCAGGGAGGGCTCATTCACTGTGAGCTGTTCCCCTACGGCCAAACTCTTAACTCGGACCGACTGAAGGATGCAAATTTAGTTTCATCATTTCGCCAAAAGTTCCGGGAGCTTGGTGGGGAGGTTCTTATGAATCCACCATACCGGATGCATAGCTTGGACTTCAAGTAAATCGAACATCGACCACCAGCAAAATTTAGAACGGTGTGTTAGGTAACTATTTGTGTGTCCAATTGTCTAGCGAGAAATCAGAAAAACCAACCCCACTTTTCTCCACGATTAAGCGAACTCTCACACAGCGATATAATTACATTGTTGTGCATTCAAATCATCGATTTGATGAGTTATCCATCGTAAAGTCTTAGCACCGAATGACTTCTTTTTAGCACTTGAAGAGCCGGTTGAAGCGTTCGGAACGTATATTTTGAAGGAAAAAGTGCTTCGATATTTGGTTCAAACGAGAGTTACTCATAAACCACCGAAGCTACAAGACATGGCTCAAATGGGGCCGAAATAAGTTGGCTCCGGATGAAAAACTTTAAGCTAGCTGCAATACTATTGTACTGGACGCGACTTAGCTTTGGATGAATCGCGCTGCAAGGTAAGCCAGTCTGCCACTTACTGCGATCTTCACTTACTCACCAACCTTCTCAACCAATTTTAATTTGAGGCAACCAAACCATTGCAGCGTCTTCTAAGCAGTACTTATTGCAAACTTTCAATCATGGAAGCCATAGAAAGGTTGCTAGATGCAACATGGCCGTGGTCTAGGTGCCTGAGCATGGAGACATTCCGGGAAGCTATATGGCGGATGAGCTAACGAGAGCAGGTACCACTAAGATTACAATAAATCATACGCTATGTGCATTCTTTTCTACGCCGAGATTCAGACTAAAGCTGACTTCCACCAAAACAGCGAGAGAACTTGCAACGGACTTAACAGCTTTGGTCTGTGCCGGACGTTATAAGATCAAGGAATCTAATCCGCCTAGACCGATTCAAGATTACTACAACAACAGGCAAACTAACTGCACACTGTTTAGTAGGACTTCACGGTAGGAGAATGGGATACTTTCGAACGATTTTTGTCGTAGCTAGAAGACGAAGAAAGGAAGAGTCTTTCACTGTCCAACTGTAAGCATCACGCACTATAAATACTTAGGTCACTTCGTTGACGTTGGCGCCAAACAGCTCAATAAGTGGTTCACACTTCTGAGAAGCTGAGATGTACTCCACTGCGGTATCACAACGGGCCTTTAGGTCGCTCTGCTCAGCAACCGCATCTACTCAATTCAAAGATTTTAAAAGAGTATATTTAAAAGAGCATTAAGCATTTTTCCGCGCGAATTGGCTCTCACGTCACTGTAGACAGTCATAAGTTAGAGGTCGTACAATAGATAAATTCGTCTATCTATGGACCAGCATTGACAACAATAATAATGTCATCTTTGAAATCCAAAGCAGGTGTTACTTTGGACTGAGTAGCCAATTGAAAAATAAAGTCCTCTCTCGACGAACGAAAACCAAGCGTGGACGTGGAAGTCTTCGAGAGAAAAGTTTTGCGATTTATGGTCCTTTGCGCATTGGCAACGGCGACTACCGCAGACGATGTAACGACGAGCCGTATGAGCTATACGGTGACATTGACATAGAATGAAGAGACAGCGCCTACGCTGACTAGGTCATGTTGTCCAAATGGATGAAAGCACTCCAGCTTTGAAACTATGTATGCAGTAATCACTGATGGATGCTGAGGAAGAGGAAGACCTTCACTACGGTGGAAGGATCAGGTAGAGAGTCATTTGGCTTCACTTGGTATTTCCAACTGGCGCCAAACAGCACAAAAGGAAGGGTTGGATGACGCGCTTTAATTAATTCGGCTATAATCGCGTAAGCGGTACCAATGCCAATAAAGATGAAGAAGAAGAAAGTGATGTTCCGTGTTTAGTATTTATGTTTGTTCATTAAATCCGAAATGTAAGAAGCAACCCTCGTATATATTTAATATTTATTGTAGGTCAGTGCCGCATAAATCATGATTTCTTGACTTCATCATTTAATCAACTTTAAGCTAAATTAACAAGAGCCATCTTTAAATATATTTACATGCATTCACACTCTCATACACACATCCATACAGGCATGCATACACACATATATTACCTCAGCGGTGCGATATTTCAATTGCAAATGAAAATATTCGCCCAGGTAACCGGTTGGTCCACACTCCGGCACCACTTCGTATTCCAATAGCAAACCACTTGTCTTCGACTTGAGCATATTGCTCAATATTCTCTCAACTTCGGAGCGTGAGAAGAGCTCATTTTGTGCATTGCCGCGTTCGATTGTTGTTGTTGGACTCATTGTTTATATCACTATCAATTAGCAAGCAAATAAGCATAGAAATTGAATTGAAAAAAAAAAAAATAGTTGCGATTTTGTTAAAAATTTATATAAAACTTAATACTCGATTGTAGTATATTTTAAATTCTCTTTCACAAAAAAGCGAGAGCGCGCAATCTCGAGCTTCTCGGGTAGACGCGCCGCCACCAGTGAATAGCAACTAAACTTAGCAGCTAATTCATTCAGTACTAATACTCATATTATATACCACTCAGTATATAAGCAAAAATAACTTGTTAGTGTATATATGTATGTATGCATGTATATGGCATTATGATTAAATGAATGTGCAGATAATCAGTAATCAGACCCTCTGCTACAATTTGCTGATAAAACAATTAAGACGGTTTCGTCTAGCCGATAAGAAGATTTATTAAATACAAACAAAAACCAAGATAAGTAAATAGTTAAGAGCACTGGAGGCTCATGTGTGCTAGCTCTGGTCAAAAGAAAACTTTGTAAATGCCGCCGACCCGTCGTCCGTATGTACATCAAACATGAAATGAAAAGCTCTTCATAAAAATTCCTTCGGAGGTAGTTTACAACTGTTAAGTTGTTTAAGCCGCCCAGGAGAAATCGAGGGTGGAGCTCGGCTAAAAATGTCGACTTTAAAAAGCTAAGTGGACGGATAATAAACGTGGTTTTATGGGATCAAGCTGAGGGTCATGGCATTAGTTATATTAGATTAACTAAGAAGTTCCTTCGGTTTTTTTTGTCCGATTTAATTCAAATATGCGCCGTTTTGTTCTCGTAGAAGGCTGCGTCTCTATTCGCAAAAAACTCGGAGAGCCAATATTCACAGGCCTCTCTTGGGGCCAACTTCTCACCATTAAGCACGTTTGCCAAGGACAGGAAAAGATGGCAATCACTGGGGGCCAGGTCCGGACTATAAGGTGGGTGCATTTGGGCCTCCCATCGGAGTTGGGATGGAACACAATTCGGCCTCCGTTGATCAAAGATGGCCTCTTCTGGATGAGTGCTGCTTTAAGGCGGGCCAGTTGTTTCGCAGTAGAGGGCCGAATTGAGCGTTTGGCCATAGGAGAGCAGCTCGTAGTAAATGATTACTTGCACAGCAAAACCTGGTGCGTCTTTGACATCGAAATTAGACCGGAACGGAACCTAGTAAAATACTTTTGGGCTACACGTTCGCTTACAGTATTAACTAAATTAATTTTTTCAGCGAATTTTCTTCTTGCTGGTGTCCATCTTTGATGAGCGCTCACAACGTACTGAGTCAATCAATTGAAAAACTGTCAAAGACAAACTTTTATCCCGAATAAACACGTTTTCAGCGTATGTATACTATGACATAATGCGACACGTAAAACTAGTACCATGGACAATCAAGCCATCTCTTAGATAAAAAACGAACGAACTTCTTACTTGACCTAATATTATTAGATGATGTGGACTCATTCCGGCTGACTTGGACAGGTAGAAAATGTTCCGAAAACTACGCAACTACAACGTCTCTGCAGCTATGACAAAGGTCGTTTGAGAAGCAGTGAATTCGTCTACCATGAGTCCCCCAATAGGCAACGACCAGTTATTACAACGGCTGTTATGCTTATAGAGGTTCGGTTTAGAAAGAGTAAGTACTTAGTTTTATTTAGTTCGATTAATGTGATTTTGCTCTGCGTTCTGCTGTTGGCCCTGCTGGTGGAGGCTGACCTAAGCAGTTATCTTGCCGCAGAGCAAGAGCGGTATTGTTCCCTTCCTGGTCAGTTCGTTGGTTAGGCAGAAACGATCAACCATGAAGCGGTTTCTGTTATCGTGACTAGATCTGCTTCGAAGTCACTGCAGTGGTCGAAAAGTCTTTTACTTAATTCTCTATAGTAATGGCTTCAGAGTAAACTTTTTCTTGTCTTCTATGCGGTTTCTCTCTGGTCGAGCTGCATTTAGTCTTAGGCCGTTGTAGCCCGCATGAAGTTTTTCTTATAACTCTGCCGGGAAAAACATTTCAAGGAATTTCGTAGGAGATGAGGGCAGCGTGCCTGTAATGGCGTGGAGACCAGCCGCCGAACTTTTTCCAGCTTTCCCCTATAAGTAACCTTTTTTAGGCCACCGTCTGCTGTCCTCCTACAGTGACTCTGTAGATTAAAATGAGTCTTGGTAACGCTTTGTTTAGCCAGTATACGAGTATACCGATGGCTGTCTTGCAGGCGTAGACTAGGTCATAGATTTCTTATACCTCTCTACCGTGTTGTGGCTCCAGGTAGAAAGAGTGATCTCGATGCGTTTGAATAAGCATATGGTTTGTACCTGCTAGTGAATTTGAAGGATTTACATCCAGACCGCGCTCACTGCCCCACCTACTTACTGTGTAAAGGATTTTGGAGCAGATCGGTTTGAACCTGGTGGTGCTTTCCAGTGGCTGTGAGGGCAACGTCGTCAGTGTATGCCACTGCATCACAATGCGTGTTTGTTTGCTTACGAAGCAGCGTGTTAACTGTGTGGCATCACATAAGGGTAGAGTGGACCCCCTGTGGAGTATCTCTATAGGCATATCAGGTAACTGATTCACATATGCCCCGGTGTCGGAGTGCAGACGTAACTGTACTGGTAAGACATTTGAGGGTGAGGCCACTCTCAATCCTCGTAACAATATCGTGTTCACAAATTTGCATATAGAGTAGCCACTTTCTGAACTGAGTTCTGCAAGGCATTCAGTGAGAGTGATAATGTCCGTGTAGCTGCAACAGATTTGAGAATTAGGCCATTCTCCAACGAAGAGGCACCATTGGACAGTATCTCCAGTTATGATGCTAATGCAGTTCCTATTTGAAAAAAGTATAGACTTTATTCCTTCCTCTTTGAATTTACTAAGTCCTTATTAGCAACAAATAGGTCATAATCCAGGCTGCTAGGAGTACTATTAATGGTAGCTTGCCTGTTGACGTCGCATGCCTTCAAACTAGGTCTGTTTGTGGTTAAAAAAAATGCAAGAAATGTGTGAAGAGAGTGAAGTATGCAATCTCCGAGAATCCAGCGCTGGTAAGACAGAGGGTCTTTGGAATAAAAGGTCGCATGCACATCAGCATGGAAAAAGGCTCAAAATACTTACTTCGATTTGCTAAAAGAAGAGCAATCATCTTTAAACTGGAGACACAAAAGAGAGTGTAACGGCGTAGTGTATCTGTGTAGCCTGTGTACTTTGGTGTCCACCAGTTAAACTTAACCTAACCTACACACCACGTCGGGTGATCCTAATAAAGCTGAGTCGCGACAAGCAGGCAGTGAAGAATATATAGCGGCCATAGCTGAGAGTGTACACGAAGACCGAGAGACGAAGAGAGTCGGTTCAGTGCTTTTCCCAGCAACTTAGACTAATGTATGGAACGACTTGGCGCATTTTACGTCGAAAAATTACCAAAAAAGATCCGACGTTTTCGAGTCAAATTTTGTTCAGCGAAGAGGTTCATTTCTGGTTCAATGGGTGTATAAACAAGCAAAATTACTGAAGGGTAACCTGAAGAGATTCAAGAGTGCCATTTTATCCAGAAAAAAGCAACGGTTTGGTTTGGTTTGAGGACCGGTTGAATCAACGATTCGTATTTCGTCAAAGGATGCCGGTGAGAACGTAACCGTAAATGGTGATCTTTATCGTGCCATGATAACCGACTATTTGATGCCTGAAATTGAAGCTCGTTAGCTCGTCGACATTTGGTTTCAATAAGACGGCGCCACTTCCCACACATCGTATCAATCAATGGGTTTATTGAAAGAACAATTCGGTGAGCAGATAATTCCACGTTTTGGGCTGGTCGATTGGCCAACAAGATTGGGTGATAACACAGTGTTGGACTTTTTCCTGTGAGGATATGTAAAGTCTAAAGTCTATGCCGACAATTCCGCTTCGATTGAGGCCTAGAAGCAAAACATCCTTCGTGTCATTTGCCAGTTACCAGTCGAAATGCTCGAACGAGTCATTGAAAATTGGACTCCGCGACTAGAAGAAAAAATCTGCAAAAAATAAATGCCAAAAATGTTCTTTCGAATAATAATAAACATTTCCCATTCAATTTTAATTTTCTGTGTGTTTTTTTTTTTTAAGTAGGTAACCTCGAAATGGATCACTATTTGTAATAAAAACATAAATGGACCACAAAATGTTTATTATTATTTTAAAAAATTTGCTAAAAAATAATCATTTAGCGAAAAATGTTACGATTTCCTTTACACGTTCTTCTAGACACTTTTTAAACCGGGGCAGTTCGGCCATAAGCTTCAATACAGATGCCGTGCGTGCCACGTGAACATACTCAGCGGTCACAAACTCGCGCGGTACTTTCAGAATCGTTGTAACGATCGCTCTGTAGAGCAAACCGAAGGGTCGAAATTCTTCGTAGGAGGAAAGCAGCTCGCCGTATGAAATGGGTATATCAGTCATCGCAAAGCCATTGGCGATCAAATTCCGCTGCAGACAATCGTAATAAAATCGCAAATATTCCACTTCCTTAGCATCTCTTGTCGTCAATTCTAAATTCATGAATAATGCGAATATCAAATCGATCGCTGGCGGACAATACCGCGCCGTTTGATAATCAACAAACAAAGCCGCTGCTTCCTCGTCGTTTACTCTATAGAAGATATTGCCCCGCCAAATGTCGCGATGACACAACACATTGCGATATTTACTAGATCTATTTGTCATATCGTAAACGCTTTCAATGGTACTTGGTAAACGTGCTTCAATTTTCGCCTTCAGCTCAGCCGATTCACCTGACAGTTGTGTTTGAATGACAGCAAGTATAGCTTGTAATCCATTGGTGTACCAAGGCACTGTTGGCGACACAGTAATTTCTAGTTGTAGGAGTGGGCAAGAGTCGCCCAAGGAGATATTTTCTTTTTGTTCGAGTGCCAAACAACATGCATGTTGTGTTGCCAAGCCACGCAGTACCTGCCTCAAGTTGATGTCACTAATGTACTCATCAGGGTTGGGGCAGAGCCTATAGTCTGCTAGCTCTAAATGCTCGAGGACAATAAGATCATCGTGCGTGTAGAAGCAGCGTGGCGACCACGAGGCTGTAGCTGTAAGGCGTGCAAAGGAAAAAATTTTTAATAAAAAATAAAATATATAAATAAATAGATGACACAATTAATTTTTTGGGGGCTCAAATCCGGGTACCACCAACATCCAAAATTTATAGAAAATTAATTCAAAATAAAAAAATAAAGTTAAATTTTTCAATTGCGGTCACCCCTCGGCGGGGAATGTCAACCCCACCGAGTGTACTCTGACATTAAATAAAAGCTCTTCATAAAAAACCATCAGCCGTTCGGAGGTGGCTTATTATAAACTCCATCCATTTCCCTCCCTCCATTTGTTGGAAAAACATCAAGACGCAAAACCAAAAATTGGAGGAGCAGCTCGGCCGAAGATAGCTTCAGCTTAGGAATACTTTTATAACAGGTAGTTTGATCACGGAATCCTGATCAATCGCACATAGGCAAACCGTCCCGTTGTGTAACCTACATATATAGGTTCTGCTAAGTAAATGCCTCTTACTTTCCCATAAGCTTAAACCACAAAGTGTGTCTTTTAAAATTCAGGAAATTAATGATGCCTACCGATGCAAGTTCTGTAAGGCAATCGAAGGAGTAATTTAAAGAAAAAACGATATCGGTTTGCATTGAGAGCTGGGCAATGACAGAGGTAGTGTTCCACCGTTTTCTCCCTATCTGTTGTATGTCCCTGCGGCAGAATTCGTTTGAGAAGCTATTCATCTCTCTAGCCATGAGTTTTCATAAGGAAATATGCACGATTATTATGCCGATTTGGTAGGAGTGAAGACCTAGTACTGTTTACCTCGATTAATAGCCAGCATTGTCTTGTCACATTGGTTTCGCTCTGCCACCTGCAGTTGGCCAGTCTTGTGAAGGCTAGCCTTAGTAGATACTATGTTGAGGAAAGTGATACGGTCACGTCATGTGCCGAGTTCACCGTGGTTATGACTGTGCACTTTCTGCTGATTTTGTCGACCACGCCGTTGCCTGGGATGTGCCTATGCCCAGCGACCAAACCACCAATGTTTCGCATACAGTCGAGAGTTTGTTTAAGAACACTCCGTATGCTAAGCCTGGGTATCAGAATATATTTCAATAAGTTTTGTTAACGTATTAGAGTTCCGCTTGGAAGACGCTGCACTGGCCGGGTAGTCTTCTAGTTCATTCTATAGCAAAAGATTCGGAGTAAACTCCACAACCTAATTTGCTTTTCAGTTTACAGTCGTCGGTGAAGATTTAAACGGTTTATTCCAACACTTCCGAGAATGATGTAGAGTCTAGTATTTGGGTGTAGTGTAGTCTATGCAGTTTCTTCATGGTTGAGCTAAATTTAATCTTATGGCGGTACAGCTGGCATGATGTTTGACGTACACATGTGTCTGCCGGGAGATTGAGCAATATTTGAAGACCTTTCGTGGGACTTAAGGGCAGCCCAGCCCTTCAAGATACAATTTGTGGTCTCAGTTTACAACTCTAACCGATCGCCGCCATACAGGCGTAGAGCATAATCGTAGCTTTCTTACACCTTTCCACCTCTCCGTTCGATCTTTGCGGGCTCTCATTGCAGCAGCTTTTTGAAGCAGAACGCTTACGACAGCTCCAGGTCTTACAGTGGCTGTGGAAAATATTTGAAATATTTCTACCAAACTTGGTACACAAATGCACTGCCACATTTTAATGATCATTTGTAGGGACCGGCCAGATCGGAGCACCATATCATATATTCGATTTTTCAGAACTGAGATTTTGTTTAAGCTTGTAAATATAACAACTCAGATCGTGAAGTTGAGTATTCTGTACTCATATGATGACGAACACGCTTTGGTGCCGAAAACTATCGAATTCGGAGGACTATAACATATACGAGGGGATTAGCAAAAGTTCGGTAAGTTTACAATTTTTTTTGGCATTTATTTGTTATCTCTTGTCTTTTTTATATTCCCTGCACCACTAATTTGATTGCATTTCTTAAGCCTATAGATCCACGTTGGAAAACAGAGTGCAAAATCTTTTTTTGTAGTGATGTAAAAAGTAACGCCGTAAGTCCTCTTTCTTTCTGTTTTCTCGGTGTACCATTTTGCAGTCACCGTCCGACCCTTTTCCAGTGGACTAGCAGCCATGGCATTCAAGCCCAATTTTATTAGCAATCATTTCTTGTGTCAATCGTGGGTCTTCGTTAATTGTAGACTTCACCAGAGCAGAGTGAAGTCATCAGTGGAAAATTTTGGTCGACCTTCTCGGTTGTCGTCCTCTACGGAAGAATGCCCGGCCTGGAGTCTTCGAAACTACTTAGAAATAGTCTCTAAAGACGGTGCAATCGTTCATTATCCAATTTGGAGTTCACTGAATATTTGTATTGGCTGCAAATTACGCCGAAACCCGAACAGAATTACATGGCGGACTACTGTTTGCGTTGGTTGGTGGAATTTCTTCTGACCTGACCTTAGCTAAAATTTTAAAAGAAGACTAATAAAGTAAATGCAAAAAATTTGGTATATTTTACTTTAACAAAAACAAATTGAAAGTCACCATCTGACCGAACTTTTGTTAATCCCTCATTGCTTCAAAAAAGCACTTAGAGTATGAAATGGTGTTATGCATTTGTATCTACAAATAAGCATTGTCCCTGAAAAACCATGGGTAGTATTGGTTCGGAGCTGAGCTATGGTCTGCGGCTTTTCGATGTAAGCTTTGCTCTTGAAAATGCCACAAAAAATAGTCCGGCGTCCAGTCAAAATCGCCGTTTTTCGATGCGCCGGTTGAACATCATGCGGAGTACCGTCATTGAAGCCTGACTAGTGGCTTCGCCCTGTTGGAAACAAGAGTGAGAGTCGGTAATTTCCTGAAACACGAGGTCACGCAAAACCGCTCAGTAGCGCGTGCCATTGTTCGGACACTTTTTGATCACGGAGAGCCGCCTCGAATATTTTACAAGAATTTCCGTCGTCACCATCAACATGGAACATGTTTTCGACGAAAGGAGGGTACGAATACCAACCAAAACCACTACCTAAGCGCGCCGAGATGAGGAAGTCTCCACCAACTGACGATGATCTGGACTTATGCCTCATTTGTCTCGACCTCCTGTCATGGAAATTATCAGCGTCGAACTCCATCGAATGCAATGTGTGTTCGAAGTGCGCTGACATGCTTGTTTTATGCTTCCTACTCTGAAGATGAAGAGAGCAGTACGTAATTCAAAAGCTTAGGACATCAGTGAGAATAGCGTATTCCCTTTTCTAGACGCAATTCACATACAATGCAGGATAAAATGGTTGTTTTAGGAATCAAAATATTATGATCCTTTAATCTGTCACCCGATAATTTTATACTCTAAATATGAGGTTTCGTGTCTTTAAGAGACCTCTAAAATTATCAACACTGCCATCAGATTCTTGATAATCGGAGTCAGAATCTGACTGAGGTAAATTATGACACAATGTTGGATCAATCTCATATACAAGCAGGTGCTTGCTGCTTTAGCAGTATGAAGAAAACGAGCTTCGGACGAGAGTTACTCGAATTACACGCCAACATACCTATGATGAAGAACTTATCCTTATTAATTGGCAGTTGAAACTGAGGTAAAGTGAGTAGCAACCAGCACTGGGCAGTCAGAAACACTCTTTATATAGTCCAATAATCAATATCACGCCCAAAAAACGGCAACAAAGCAAATATTGAGCAGAGATAATGATGTTAAAAGTCCGATAAACAACCAAAAACGCGCAGAGCGAGTGCCAATAGCTCGTGGACTCAGGACGAGTTAGAAGACTGCCGAGTTGTTGCAGCGAGTTGGGAGCAATACGCATTCAAGCGGCTGCTACCACCAACGCTGTCGTCTGTCGCACAAGAAGAAAGATAAGAGGGAAGCGGACAAGAATATATGGCAGGTGTTTCCACGGCAGTTGTGCCCAGTGCAGTATACCTCAGCACTCACTGGCTAAAGTTGGGATTCTCTATTTACCTGCAGCCATCGAATTAGACTGTTTTGCATGAAACACCAAAATTAAATATATTTAAAAGCATACACATACATATGTACTTACAATACTTCTGCAACCGTTCCAAGAGTGTGCCATACAGTGTTGCCTCTTTAAGAAATATGGCTTCTTTTTCCGGTTCCATACTGGCCTGTGGTATGCTTTTCACAAACGCCTGAAATGTGAGTAGCTCACGCCTAACGGTAAGCTGTGCATCCAGAACGGTAATTTAAAAAATACGTATAAATTAATTTAAAATTGAGCAGCCCAGCAGTAGGCAACATCTTTTCACATGAACGCAACTCACATTCTCGTTTTCACCACACCCGGCAATGTTGTAAAGCACATACAAATCATAATATTCGCCAAGAAACCCATTTGGGTACGAATGCGGCACCAATTTGAATTCCTTAATCTGCAAATCTGTTTGTGTGCCACGGGCTTTTGTTAAAATTTGCATGCATTCTGCTTGCGTCAGTTGCAGTTTTTTGACAAATTTATTTGCTTCAGTGATATTGCTTGGCGTTGACATCTCTGCCTTGCGACTGTGTGTGATTTGAACTTTTTCACTATTTTTTCAGAATTTTGTATTAAAAATAGATTCTCTACTTTGTGTTTTGGCGTCAGTCTAAATTTGTCGAGCTGCTCGATTCGACTACTGCTGTTGGCGGTGGCGTTTTTGCGAGCATTTTAACGTCAACTATGCCGATATTCATATGATATATGCAACTATATATACATATATAAGTTTGTAAAAAAAAACCAAAAAATTTACACAAAATTGTATGCAAGTATGTACATTCATATGTGTGGTCGTACATACAAACGATTTTATCAGCGGGCAATACATCTGTTTTTCTTTGTTTTCTCACTTGAGCACCTTTCGCGATATTTATGCTGATAGCATTTTCTAATCGTTGATATGTATGTAGATCTGTTACAATTATTTATTGCTGTAAATACAATTCCTAACTGCACTTGCCCCTTTTCTTATCAATATCTTGAACTATATGTCAGATGAAACTATAATAAAAATCCCTTAGTATTAAAAGCTTATTGTATGAAGAGGGTTGGCATCTTATATACATACATACATATATATACAAATGTAACTGAAGGCGTTTGCAGCCGACGCGACGTGCAATAGAACGTTAGTTACACGCATAGATTATCGAATAGCATGGAAAAGAACAAAACAAAATAAGTAACTTGAGTTCAAACCGCTTAAAAATACCCGATTTGACTAACAGCGATCCCGAGAAGAACTGAGAAAAATGGTACTACTGAGAATGGGCAATTGATAAAACTCCATGTGAAATTTCGCCAAACGTCTAACTGTTGGAAACTTTCATTCCAATTTCAATACTCAGTGACACTTTAAAATGGAACACTAAATTAAATCACACCTCAGAGTTTATTGACATTTTTTAATCTATATAAAACTAATTCAATACTCATCCGCAATAGCCGAGTGGTAAACATTGTACCTCTGGTTCCACCAAAAACAAAAAATTATAGAAAATAAATTTTCCGTTCGCTTTTGTTGTTGTTGCGGTTCTCTAACCCCGCTTAGGTACAGGTTTGATCAAACTAAGTCGTCGAGGTCATCTAGTGGGTGGTCCAGGAAACGAGCTATTTCGACGTTATTGGATCTAAGGGAGAGGAAGGTTAGATGAGTCAGTCGGTTTAAGGGGCATGTGAAGAGGTGGTTAGTATCGTGCGATCACTCTGCACATACAGAGCATACATTGGATATGCTGTGTTCGAGTCTGGATGAGTAGGAGTTTAAGCTGCTACAGTATCCAGACTTAAGTTGTGCCAAGGTCACGCGGGTCTCTCGAGGCAGCTCGAATTCGTTGTCTGCAATGGGTGGTGGACGTAATCCGAGCACGCCATTCACTGGAAGAGAGTCTTTGAAGGTGTTGACTGACTTCTGGTGAATGGCGTTCAGTACCTGTCTGTACGCCATCCTGTCCAGCGGTTGTAAAACATATTGTTGGATGGTGTTTTTTAAGTCGAATATTCTGCTTGTGATGTGCCTAGGTGGGAGTTCAGGCTTCTACTATATGCCTATTGGGGTGCTCCCTGCGCTAACATACCAATATGAACTGCTTGCACAGCAAAAAATTATGCTCCTTCACTCGGAGACAACCATTGTGAGCTTTGGCGTTTGGTTTCCGGGTCGTATTACTCTCATCGCCTGTAACAACTCGATCAAGCAGCGTGGGATCGTTTTCCACTTGAGCCAAACAGTTTTCTGCGACGGTCATTTGCGGCTGCTTTTTCCATTTGCCTAACCACGAACACAATCATTCCCACACCTCGTATAAGGGAAATCGACTTCACAGTTTGGGTCAATTATCGTGAGATAAGATTCCTCAAAATCACATACATATAATGTCTTCTGATCTTAGCATTTAAATCTATAAACTTGTGCCAAATAGTGGAAAAGAACCGTCTATTTTGAGGCTGCCTTCGAAGACATGGAAAGTATGAAAGTAGCTATGCTCCAAGCGTCGCAGATTATAAATTTTTTATCTCGAGCCCAAAAGCTCGAGTCGATTTGATGGACCTACATACACACGAGGGCGCCTGACCTAAAGTACTTAATGAAACAATGTATAGTTTAATGTTTTTTTAGTCAGTGTCCCTCAAGTTAAATACACTATCTTATATACCACTGAAATAATATTCGTTAGATTTCTCTTTAAAATGATGTTCTACGGCCGCGTTCACCTCACTGTCGTCTGAAAATTTTCATCCCCATAAGTTCTTCTTTTAATTGAAAACAAATATCACTGGTGGCTAGGCCCTGACTATACGTTGGATGATTAATCTCTATAAATCCAGTATCTTTCAGGGCATCCCTCGCAACCCGAGCGGTGTGAACGGTTACGTTGTCTTACGTGTCTAACTTAAAAAATTAGCGTAATAGTGACCGTTCATTGCAGCTCCTTTTTGGCAAGTAATCAATCTTGCTATTGCAGAAACTGATAGCCGACTTTTCCACTTTGAATTTTTTTGATGGCATTTCCTCTGCTTCGACTCCTGTTTGGACTCGGGGCCATACTGACGAATCCAAGTTTCATGAACCATTACAGAGCGCTTGCAAATTTCATCGAAATCATACTCTAAAAGATTTTAACAACTCTCCGAATCGAATCCAGTCGCTGCTTTCCAAGCGCCATGCGGATTTGTGGTTTTTTCTTATTTAAATTCTTGCAAGATCTCGCCTCGTTCTTTACAATCCTTTCCTTTGATATCCTTCGGCTATCTACCACAATTTAATTCTTCGATCAGCCAGTACCAATTTTTTGACTTTCCGAACATTTTCTTCGGTCACGACCGCCACTGGGCGCCTCGGCCGTGGGTCATCTTTACAGGTGGTCTCCTTGCCTTACTTGTTGAAACAGCCGACCGCATTTTCTCATCATCGTATATGAAGGGGCAGAGTCATTACCAGCCGCACCGCATACGTAATTTTTGAATAAAAAGGCATACATTTCGTGAAAGGAAATATTATTATGTTAAATTTGATATTTATTTACGTAAATCGATAACTTTTCCTCAATTGAATTTCGATAATTTCAGCATTGTTCAATCATTTAGATTATTTAATTTAAGAAATCTGCATTTTCTGACGCATTTGACGTTTTTCCGCCAACACTGTACCGTATGGACGTATCGTTATGTAATAAACAATCTCGACGAAACTTAATAGGCTGGCCCCTACAAAAAGGCCTGTGGTGCCACCAATGGATACTGGAAAAAAGATTAAAAATAGTTTCAAAAAGTAGAAAAATAAATTAAAAATAAAGGTAATAAAATGACTATAAATATAAAATACAAACCAACTAAATCCAATTTTCCACGCACAACATTTCGTTTATAACGTTCAGTTGGCAGCTCTATCAAGGAGATTTCGATTTTAGCCAACGGATTTTGATTTTCAAAAATGCTATAATTATAGGACAGTTTGTATATTAGTTGGTTATGCAGCACCAAAATTCAACAAACAGTTCATTATGGTATTACTTTTCCTTGCTGTCGTGCACCGTAGAAATATCAACTTCCGTACAGGATGGCAAGCAATCGCAGACCAGACCCTTTCGTCCTCGTGACCACTTCGCTATAATAACCGATAGATCTTCATAATTGCGATTTAAACACTCCAAACCATCCATATTGCACATCTGCCAATCTGGTGTATTCGGCGAGAGGTGACTGGAGCAATTGCACAATTCAATTTGTCGATCTTTGCGACACTGCACGGTGCAGGCCGAGTAACTGTAGTAGCGATGGACATCCAGATTATTCTCATCACTGAAACGACAATTCCGTTGAGTTACGCTGGTATCGCGAATTTGCTCATCGTTTTGAATGTCACGCTTGGATATGTGGCGGCTGGAAGGAGAGAGAGAACAGTGATTATTTTTACTTTGAGGTTATGTTATGAGAAAGAAAGTGGACTAAGTTTGTGTTTATAATCAAAAAGAAAACTGTAAAGAATGTTTTTTTTTAGATATGTGGTTTTCTATGAGGCAATACTTTGTTCGGAGTTGCTGTTTTTGACAGCTGTCGGCTGATTTATACACAGAGTTACTTCGGTACGACGTTTGCAAGTCGTGCAAATTTATTACCGCAATAAAGTTATTTATAATGCGTACTTTACACCTCGTCTCGGTTTCTATTCGGGCAGGAGTCGCTCGTTAACTCTCACTAGCTTCTTTGTACTGGATACCGAACTCGTCTCAAGTCTCAGAGTTACCGAATGCCAGCCTTTTTTTAAGAAATTACTCTTACTTACACAAATGAAACGTAAGGACCGACCAATAGATAATCCGTCTTTGGTGTAACAAAGGTGGGCACCTCTTCCTCGCCAAGAATAAAAACCTAAAAAAAAAGAAAAAATAAGTAAAATTTTCTATTCCGATCTTGAGTATGTGAGTTTCAAGAGAAAAAGGAGTAGACCCATCAGATTGATGTAAGTTAAATCTTCTAAACTTTCTTTCTCTTTGGCAAACCTCAAGCTAACTGCAACGCGGCTAGACTTAACGTTATTCAGCCTTGAAGTGACCAAGCTACTGGACGCGCCGGGATACTATTTTTCTCGTTCGCTTTTCAATGAGAATGCCAGTACAAATGGCGGGATCCATTTCCCAATCCTCTCGCTCAACTTGAGTATGAGACAGATCGGTGCTGTTAACTTGTTTCAATCATGGAAGCCGCCAAAAGGGGCTTGGTTAAATCTACGATCTCCTCAACAAAGGTCTTACAAATCATACTCGACATTAGACCAAATAATTTACAAGTAATGTATGGACAGTTAAAGCCTTCCTTCAGCTATCGCGGCCGCCTTGTATGCACAGTTAACCGTTTAAATATTCTAGGCAGTTGGGTCCAGTTCCCAAATTGTGAAGGATATGGTGGTTTTCAAAAAATTATACCAGAACTCGAGCTAAACTTAAAATGCGACCGAGAAACGGAACCCTTCTGCCGGGTGGAGGCGACATAATCCTTTCCTAATAGAGAAGAATGAACGGAACACGAGCCCATCGATAACAATGAAGATATCCATATCTACACTAATAGGTAAAATGTGTAGTAGTCAAAGGAGCAGAGTTATTCCAATGACCAAAGTAGTTTTAATCCCGATTACTACAGCTCTATATTCCAATCAGAGATTGTGGTATTTACTGAAGTTGGGAATGGGCAACCGCTTTAACGGGAAAATCTGCCAGGCTTCCGGTAGACAGCCAATCAATTAAAGCAGTTATGGGTGTCAACATAAAGTCCAAATGCGTTAGAATATGCAATGAGGAATTTTACATACAAATCCGTGAAAACACTGGGAATTTCTTTGGACTTCCGCTGGGAGGGCTGTCAACATCCACTTCCTTCATTTCTTCAGCGCTTAAAACTATTGTGCCAAACAGTGGACCATAGGGGTACAGATCTCACTCTTCCAATGTAATTATTGTGGGGCAGCGTGGATAGTAGACAGACCAAACTCTTACTTGTTGTAAGCAAAATAAAACTTAGCATTCCTATGGACTGTGATATCATCTCCATTATCTAGGTAAAGTTGAATCAGATGTGTGCAGAGCAAGCACGGAGAGCGGGAGCACAAACTTTGCGAGTGACCTCACAGAAATTGGCAGGCATGGTTGGAAGAAACTTAAAGAATTTATATAATGGAGCAAACCTTTTGCGATCGCTTAGCTGGAATACATGGGGCAGTACAATGAGCCTGATCAATAGGCACCTCTCTTTTTCGGACCAACGAACCAATAATCTACGATCTCCAACCATTCTTTTACTATATATTCTGATACCCGAACTGTCAATGATATCCCTTCAGTGCAACTTTAGTACAAAAACTTTTAGAAGCATTCTTAATAGACTCACGAAAAAATTGAAAACTACCGTGATCTGGGTACTCGGTACAATCTGCAAAGATGCAGAAAACTGTATTAGTGGTTTCCAATAAAAGAAGGACCAATAGAACTAAGTGTAACGTGACACGATAGATGTGGACAACTCTAGACGTTTTGGTCCCCATCAAGCTTATAAAATCTCTCCTCTTGAACTCGAGCTTTTACTTACTGTGGCTTCCGTGTGTAGTTCCATTTTCAATGAACCAGGTCCAGTGTAACGATTTGAGTACATATTAAGTTTAGGACCGTTATTTTTTCTAAAATAGGAAACGAAAAATACTTTCCATTAGCAAAAAGACAACACAATGAGACATAAGTGGAGAAAATAATTAGAATTAGGTTTAGTAAAACGGAAAACATTATTTTAGAAAAGGATGCTCGACGGTTTGGAAGGTTATTTTGGTGAAACTGTCGATAAAGTAATCGAGATCATTGAGTCTGACCATCATGCTAGCACAGTTGCGATTTCCCAGGACTTAAAACATGCACAAAACCACTTTCGAACCACTTGAAACAGGCTGGATACACAAAGCGACTCGAAGTTTGGGTGAGTTAACCAGAAAAAACCTCACGGATGGAGTTTCCAGCTGGAAATCGCTACGGAAATGTAGAAAAACAACCCATTTCTGTAGCGAATGATGAGTGATGACAAAAACACACAGCGACGTTAAATGAAAACTGTTGTGGTCGAAGGACAGTGAGCCCACACAAATGTTCTCCAAGCCAGGACTGACGGCCAGAAAGGTTTTGTTGTGTATTTGGTGAGATTGGCAAGGATTCATCCACAAAGAGGTGCTCCTCTACGGCCAAACTCTTGACTCAGATCTGCACTGCCAGAAATTGGCACGCTTGATGGCAGCAATCGCCCAGTTTTGGCCTACAGCAGGGTAGATGTGTTCCCTCAGTACAACGCTAGACCCCACACATCTACAGTGACTCGCTAGAAGTTCCCAAAGCTTAGGAGGGAGATGATTATGCGTCCACCTTATAGTCCGGATCTCGCACCAAGTGAGTGTCTATGGCGTATTATTTAGCTGCTGAAGAAGTGGCCTTAAGAGAAGCCCCTAAAAATCAATTGTCCTAATCTTTTCCCATTAGGCACAAGTGTTTCTCTGAGAGCGGCAAAACGGTATTACACACAAAATGCCAAAAAGTTATCTAGCAAAACGGTTTACATTTGACATAAATCGAGTAGTTCAAACCATGGTAACTGAAGTCTTCACTTTACAAATATTAGTAACATAATGGCTTACTTTTTACTAGAATATAATAGAATATTACTTTACAAACTCTCTTACCCAGCTTGCAGCGAATTGATGGCATAACAAATGCCCAACTCCGTTTCCATACGCTGAAAATACTTGCAGCATTCAAAAGCCTTATCGTTCCACATACAATTTTGAATGGAATCTGGACAACTGCTGCGAACCAGCTGAGCATAGTAGGAGAAGTTTGAGTAAAAGCAGTTCTCAGCCGGCTCTTCGCCGCCACACTCGTGCACCGTGTGATATGACTCGCCACGAAAGAAGGATATTTCGCTAAGCACTTCCTCCAGCGTGAAATCGTGTTCTGTGCCCCAAAGTCTAGGTAATGAGAGCTTATAAAAAAAAAAAAAAAAAAAAAAAAAAAAACAACGGAGCGTGTGAAAATAAAAACCGCTTACTGTTCAGCCACTTCTTGTATGCGATCCATATTTTTCGATTCACAAATAACAATCGCCGGGAAATTTGTGTCCCAATCACGATAAGAACTCTCAACCACAAAACTAATGGCATTGTGTTCGAAGGCATCTGAAGTACAAAACAGGCATACTTTTTAAATAATATATATATATTTTTATTTTGTTTTTTAAATCTATTTTTAATAATTTTTTTATATATATATATTATTTTTTTTTTGCCTACCCAATGAAACCTTTATCAAGCGCCAAGAGGCCAACCAGGATGCCACTAGACAAAGCCCCCAAAATAGACGCTCCACCCAAGATGCATCCTTGTCAACAATAAATTTGGCACCGTGCAGTGTTGAGTTCTTGAAATATTCCTCCACAAGGCGACGTAGACGCATTCTTTTAGCTTTCTCAAAATTTGAACAGTTTTTGAGAACCTCGAATTGCCAATGGCAAATGTCAACTGAGAAGCCACCGAATTGGCGGTCAATAATACATTTCAATGTTGTATATAATTAAATTATGCATAAGCTTTTCGCTCTGCTATCTGTTATCAGAATCTTGTAACGCAGCAATTACACGACAACAAAATAACAGGTGTTGTAGTTTACATGGAATTGGAATGAAACCTCAACATGATTGGAGAGTATTGAGTTTTGGGTATTGGTCTTTAGTTGCGGCCAATAAATTTGTAATTATCGAAATATATATACGAGTGCTTTGATTTTATACCAACTACACAGCCGTCTCCGAACGGGCGTGGGATTTTCATGAGGAGCTATTATTTCATATCCGAAATACACTTGGACGGCTTAGAATCCATCAGTTTTAAATCCTCCGATTCACAATATCCAGTATAAGATCTTAACTAGCATACTATCGTCCATACCAGAGTGGCTTCAGACCTCATAGACCTAAGTGCACACCGTCTAAACCATGAGGGGAGTGACAATCAAGTAATAAAAGTCATTCCATAAAACCGTATATTTCGAAATTATTCTACAACTCTGCCATCCTCTTCAAAGTAGTCCCATTGGGCAGCTATACAACGATTCCAGCGCGTTTTCCATGCTTATTAACGTTTCTGGAACGCTTCGACTGGGATGTCCGCGAGTAGCCACGTCACGGCCGCCTGGATGTCCTCAATCGACTCAAAATGGGTTCCTTTGACCACCGATTTTTTTTTTTTAGGGAACAAAAAAAGTCACAGGATGACATATCGTGCGCATAAGGCGGTTTTTGCAACACGGTGATCCCTTTGGAGGCCAAATACTGGGAAACGCTGATGGCGGTATGGCACGGCGTGGTCGTGATAAAAGATTCAGTTAGGAGCGATGTCTGGGCGCACCCTGTTGACTCCCATTCGCAATCTTTCTAGTGCTTGGTCAACATTTGAACTGTTAAACGTCAATTTTCACGGATTAGAGCGCGCACTCGCTGCGCACCTCGTATGGTCTACCGCTTCGCGTCTCGTTTTCCACGCTTTCACGCCTCTCTTTAAACTCTTTATGCCATCGAAACAACTGGATATGACTAAGAGCACTATCACCATGCACTTTTACAATTTTAGCGTACGTTTCCGAATCTGGATTTCGTTTTTTCCATTTTCGTGACGAGCACCACGAACACACGTTTACTCAACACGGCACAGCAGGCGAACTAAATAAGCTAGAGCGATTGCGAATATATCAATGGAGACGAGAAGGATGCCGAGAGAAGAGAAAAGGAATTTCAAGGTCGCAGGGTTACCACAATCGCAGCAATATAATCAGCCACATCACTTTATTGTCACCCCTCGGAGTTTCGCCACTATCGTTATCAAAAGAGTAAGGCCAAGTCACACCTCTGGACCCAAGTGCGCGCCAGTGTAAGATTTTCGGCGGTGTGAACGGTCAGCTATTGTGTGTGTTGGACTTTCTATGAATATATGGTACGCCAATATGCCTTAGTGTAGCGTAAGTAAGTCCCAGCTATTGAGAACATCGAGAAATATAAACATTCGGGTTTTCGGCTACACTTTCACCTTCCAGTAGCGGTATTTGAGGTAGAACAAGCAAAGCGATGATGCACAGGCCCTACAATATATGCATATCCAGTCTCTGGTGCACCAAAATCTCCTCTTAAAGCACGAAAAGGAAGAATAAAAAGTATTAAAACAAAGGCACAGCGAACCCCCCAAGTTGGGCAAGGATCGCCGAGTACTGCATAATAAAAAACTTAGCTGTAAGGAACATACTGACAGCAAGACCCATAAAGCGCTCCGAATGTGAAAACCTGCAGGAGGTCCATTACGCCCAGATGGTGCATAGGTTTTACCTACACAATTGCCGTAAGACCTGAACATACTTATATTTGGGCTGCTAACATAAAGATGACAGAAGTTCCGTAATAATCTTTGGAACTACCTTAACAGAAAGTCATCCTTGACATCAGTTCAATCTACTTATAAGTATAAGTGATGTATGACGCAGCAAGCCGCCTAAAAGACCCTGACAATTGGGTCCTTAACTGCGGGTGATATGACTATGTACAAAATGTAGTAACAGAACTCGGGCTAAATATACATGTACCGATCGAGAAAAGAAAACCTTATACCTGGTGAAAGTCATATAATCCTTCCCTAACTGTAATGAATGAGCGGAAGACGTCCAGGCAATTGGTAATATTGAATTTGTTCACATCTATAGTGAAGGCAGGTGACCACAACAATGGTCAAGGTAGTTTCAAACTCAATGACTCGTCCTCTGCTTTCCATGCAGAGATTATAGGCACTCTGAAAGCGCCGAATGGGCAACTTATTTAATAGGTGAATCTATTCGATTTCTTGTAGACAGGCAATTTAACGTGCCAACTCAAAATCCAAATGCATGAGAAAGTGCCAGAAGGCAGGTCAGCCGATTGTAGAAGACAACTACACAATGGATGTGCTGGCTCGCGCTGGTGCCGCGGATAAAACTATTACCGTCGATTGATTCAGGTCGTCGTCGATGCGAGAACTATTTCGATTTCCCAGGAACTAAACACCGCACAAAAAAATAGTTTGGAACTATTTGACGAATTCTGGATACGCTCAAAGTATGGCCGTCACAAGACTTGATGAGACAAAAGCTCATGGACCGAACTTCAATCTGCAAACCGCTGCTACATCGTAACTAAATTGATCCATTTATGCAGCGGATGATGACTGGTGATGAAAAGTTTATGACTTCGAGCAACCTCAATCGAAAATGATCGGTGCCGAAGAGTAGTAAGCCGGCACTAGAGACCGTTTGTACCAGGATTGAAAACCAGTAAGATTGACAATTCGCTGAGCTTAGCATAAAATTGAAGAAGCGCGCGATGAACTTTCTTAACAGAGCACTCACTTGGATAATAAAATTCAATAATTTGCAAGCGTTGTGCATTTGTAAGACGATTAATGGTTAAATTATAATCCAAACTGAAGATGTTTGACTGCGATACAAAACACGAAACGTGCGTCAGCTGTTTAGACCAGTGTTGCCAAAAAGATAATAGCTAAAAAAACACCATTTACTTTCAACAACTGGACTGTATGAAGGACCCAGCCCAGAAGCGCCACGCTTTGGTCAACAAGAGGAAAATTGTTTTCATCAAGATAACTCCAGACCACAACACATCGACAAAAACTTGGTAGAAGTCCCAAGAGCTTAATTTGGATATTTTTATGCATCCAACTCATAGTGCGGTCCTCGCACCAGGTATTTACCATCGTTTTTGTCTATTGTGAATGATTTGCATGCTGAGAGAGGCCTGTGAAAATGGATTGTCCCACTTTCCTTTGCGAATAAGGACTAGGATTTTTATGGGAGTGGCATAATGATATTACCTCCAAAGTGGCAAAAAATGTATATATCACATGAAACGGATTATTCTTACTTCGGTTAATAAAGCCTTCAATTTAATGCCCTTTACTAGACCAACAATGAGGAGATTTAATCAAAATGGAAACTAAAAAGCAGAAAGAAAATAAGTTTTTGATTTCACCTTAATAAATTAATTTACTAAGGTCCAACACAAAAATGTTCTTTGACGTTTTTTAAATTTTCGTAGTCGAAACTGGGCCTCAGTCCTTTACCTTCTGGTAGTAGCTGCTACTGCGGTCATAGGTAAACATATTTTTTTTAAGATGACGAATAAGCGTAAAAAAGTAGTAGTAATCGTGATGACGCATAAAGGAAATATATACCGTAAATTAGCGATCAAATCTAAATCTAGATAACGATAAAAACACACACAGTGAAATGTTTATTATTTCATTAGATTGGCAAAAATGGATAAATTCAAATTAAATCGATAAAAATAAATTTTATTTAAAAATAATATAAATTCATTAATTCACTTCTCTTCATGAAATCATCCACATTAGTTCGCTGAATTATGGCCAATAATTATCGACTGCACCCGATTTGATTTCATCAATGACCAATCACAACGAGTTTGTGTCAAACCTGCGGCGCTAATAGATATCTTACGTGCTAGACTACATGCATCGAACTGAAATCAAAACAAAAACAAAACAAAAACAAAACAAAATCAAACAATATGCATATTTTACGGTAAATATTTATTCCATTGATTTTGATTTCGTTTGAGTTCATCGTCCGTATAATCAAAAAAAAAAGCGTAAATTTCTAGAAATATCAGCTGGAACTGTCAACAGTTTCTAGCTTCACCGGTTTAAATAGTTTTGACTAGTCCGTCGTGGCTGCAGTCAAAATAACAAAATTTACATATATCTCAGGCGGAAGATGTGGTCGTAAACTTATCTTCCACCGGTAAGTAATTGGTACTAGGAAATAGATGAAACATGTATACATATGTATGTTTGCATATGCAGTCACGGGGTGTGTTGTTCGTACCGCAAACAGTTAGAATTTACGCAAATCTCACATTCAACTTCCCGAAATTCATTAAATTTTAAATAACACGCATAAATTAAATAAAAGTTGAATAAAAAAATAAGATGAAAATGATATTTAACAAACCAGCAAATTAATAAATACATACATATGTACATACAAATTTATGCATCTTCTTTTGCCATCTCTTATTTATTACTTCACACTCGATTTTATTTTGAAAGTTTTTCCCAAGCGTCTCGCTGTCTGTCTTATTAATGTTGATAATTTATTTTATTTTATTATGCTTTTTTATACCCACAGCTACATAAAACGGTTAATAAAAGTTCGGTCAGTTGTTTTTGTTAAATCTAAAATTACCAAATCGTTTGCAATTATTTTATTAGTCTTCTGTTCAAGTTTTAAAACGATCGGCTAAAATGGAGACGAGAAAATGCAAGACAGCTGAGGATAGGTCAGACGAAGTTCCACCATCAATGCCAATAGAAATTCGAAATGGGATTCTCTACGGATTTCGG